TTCCAAACCTTGTACTTTGCATTATTAAAGCTGAACTAGTTAACTTATTACAGTACTGGCAAATGCTGCTACAGTACTTAAATTCAACTACTGAAAAAAGATGAAATACAAAAACAAATCTAACTTATACGTACTTAAGTTTTTTAAAGTTGAAGATAAGGCTCATTAATCAATTAATTCAAGTTTACAATAATCAGTCAGTTCCTATTACTCACTATACAATATGCATACATAATTCTGATATTCCAATGGTACAAAATAATTCACAAAACAAGTTAATCTTAAATAAATGCTAAAGCCCAATTCCTTCAAGAAACCCAGTTCATACACAAGATATATTATTGATGATTTTCTCCCAATGGCGAGAGCTGGCAACATATTGATATTCACCAGTAATGCTTCGAACTATACATTTTACCTTGTATTTATAAACATCTTCCTCAGAAAAATTGGATTTGCAACTTTGGAGAACATCTTTTCATGAATATGCTCATCAGTTAACAGTAAATTAGTATAAATATTGAAAGCATTCCTTTTCAACATTCACCCAAGCATGAAATTTGGATGGCATTTTAAAATACAAGTTTTTTGCCATTGCTTTTAGCCAATTATTATTTATTAACCAGCTTTGGGGAAAAAACATGAATGTTTATAGCACTTGCTCAATACCTACTGGATATTTTAGGTACTGGTAATCACAAGATTTACCAAACTGCTTTCCACTGAAAAGGAAGTTATCACCAGACATTATGAATTGCATACATGTACAAATATAGCATTCCTGAAAATTTGGCCCCTTGGACTAATATTTTCAATGTAAACAGCTGGAAGAACTGCCCTTATACAGAATCAGGAGAGACAGAGAGAGAGACAGAGAGAGAGAGAGAGAGAGAGAGAGAGAGAGACAGAGAGAGAGACAGAGAGAGAGACAGAGAGAGAGACAGAGAGAGAGGACAGAGAGAGAGACAGAGAGAGAGACAGAGAGAGAGACAGAGAGAGAGACAGAGAGAGAGAGAAGAGAGAGGAGAGAGAGGAGAGAGAGAGAGACAGAGAGAGAGACAGAGAGAGAGACAGAGAGAGAGAGACAGAGAGAGAGACAGAGAGAGAGACAGAGAGAGAGACAGAGAGAGAGACAGAGAGAGAGACAGAGAGAGAGACAGAGAGAGAGAGAGAGAGAGAGAGAGAGAGAGAGAGAGAGAGAGAGAGAAGGAGAGAGACAGAGAGAGACAGAGAGAGACAGAGACAGAGAGAGACAGAGACAGAGAGAAAAAAAAAACAATTTAAAACTCTGAAGTACAGAGGATGACTGGAGTTTATATGAAAATCAGTTGGGTAGAGAACACTAATATGATTACCTGAGAACTGTACGGAAAACAGAACAGGCAAGTCCAGACATATTTCTTACCAGGCATGTGGACGAGAGGCTGGACAAAGGCATTGGGAGGGCTAGTACAAATTACTGGTGTCTGTACTTTATCTCCCTTGATTGTCAGGAGAAAAATTTTCATGTACATTTACCAATACTTCTATCAGTATACATGTAAATGTGATTTTATTTCTTGAAATACTTCAAAATAAATTATTTAATAAATGGCCAGAGTCCTTTTCATCCCTAACTTTTACAGTACAAAAAATTTATTTGAAAGTCAATTGGCAAGAAACCCACAAAACTCTTTCAATTATATACCATGTATGGATCAATAATGCTTTTATATTATTCATAATTGGAAGAATGTACAATACCTGTAATTCATCAAGAATAATTTGAATTAAATGCTTGCTCATGAAGCCAATATTTATTTGTCCTTCTTTGTTTCATCAGAGAAACTTTCTTTTAGTTCAGCAGCTTCACATCTGGCAAGCACATTAACATTTTCCTCTTCATTTCCTCCATTTACAGCTTCGACATTAAAATCGTCGTTGTTTTCTTTGTCAACTGTCTCGAAGTCAATATTTTTTGCGACATCATCTAGCATCTCTAGTAATTTTTTTTCTTCACAATTTGCCTCGTCTTCATTTATCACTATTTCATTTCCAATATCTGGAGAGTTTGCCTGTAAAACAAATTAACTACTAAAAATTCTAGGAGTATAAATTAATACACAACAGAAATTCTTGCATAACAATGGCTAATACCAACATTCAGTGCATCTAAAATTTCATGTATAATGAAAACTTTTTAAAGAAGCCAAATTCACCTTGAAGACTCTCCCCATCCCCTTAAACTTAATTCTCAACTCTAAAGGTCTACTACCCCCTTTTCACCGCTAGAATGGCCTTTCAACTAAAAACTCTAGTCAATATTTTGTACTGCTTGACTTATGAAATCATGACAGTTGCAAAGAAGCCACAGTACAGGTGGGGTTAGAACCCATGGTAAGCAAGTTGTAAAACTCCAGGCCAGTGCATAGCCAGCTGGAGTTTTAAGACTCTTGCCATGGGTTCTAACCCCACCCCTACCTTTTTTTTTGTACTGCTTTTTTTTCCCCAATGATTCATCTGACAGATATTCTTTCCTCAACTCATTCATGCTTGGGAATCAACTTGCCATTCCTTAGAAAGCCTTATGTTTTACTATTACATAACAGTTTCTTTTTTAAACATTCATTTGTATACAGTGGACCCCCGCTTAACGATCACCTCCCAATGCGACCAATTATGCAAGTGTATTTATGCAAGTGCGTTTGTACGTGTATGTTTGGGGGTCTGAAATGGACTAATCTACTTTACAATATTCCTTATGGGAACAAATTCGGTCAGTACTGGCACCTGAACATACTTCTGGAATGAAAAAAATATTGTTAACCGGGGGTCCACTGTATTTGTATATACGTATACAATTTTTAAAATTCCTGGTTATATTAGCTTTCTTTCCAATGCTCTTTTTTAATGTATTTTTTTTCAACAAGTTGGTCGTCTCCCACACAATCTTCTAACTAGGAATGATTTTTTTCTGAATTCTACATTTAACCATAATTTCAAACCTTTTGATATTTTTTAATGATTCATTCTTAACATTTAACTCTCTCAGATGATAATCTTTATGCTACAGGAGACACCAACTCTTGGTATCTGAACTCGAGTCACCCATGCAATAATTCCTTTTTTCAAAACTTTAAAGACAAATCCTTAATGATCCTCAAATCTATGCAGCAGACAAAGACAATCTTCAACATTTACAGTGAATGTACACATAGAAAAAACTCATTCTAATGTTCATTCCTGTTTCATTCAATCACAGTAATCATTCACACAGTCACCATCTTTTTTACTACCATCCTCAGTCACTCATTCTCTCATGTTATACTCTAGCTAGAATGACTACTAGCCTTACAAACTGCACAAAAGATACAGCCTACGGTTTCTATAAATATTACATGCAACTGGACCAGTACCTGTGGCACAGGAAAGGTGGTGTGGGTTTCATCAGCAACTTTGGCCTCTGGCCTCTTGTAGGAGAAAGAAGCAGCTCTTGCAGCTGGAGTACGTCGCTGAGGGGACTCAGGATTCCTGCAGTAATAATAGATTTATGTAGAATGCTACCTGCCTTTGATACATGGCAAAAAAATTTATTGGCATAAATTAGAATGAGGTGTTTTGGCATTTAGAGGAAGGAGAATACAATGAGAGGGGATTCATAAATTTGGGGTGAAAGGTAGGTGGGGTAGGGGATGTCCCAGGAATGGTTGGAGGGAGAGGGGTAAAGGTGGCTGAATAGTTTAGGGTCTTGAGCATCCAGCAAGCTTGTGCGAGCGTGTCAGAGGTGAATGAAGACAAGTTATTTTTAACAGAGGTGTTGTTAGAGCAAGAGCATGGTAACACTCATGAAGGGAAACCATACCCCCGGCCGGGATTGAACCCGCGGTCATAGAGTCTCAAAACAGGGAGGTGGGAAGGGAAGTGCCTGCACTGTGAAGGAGAGATGGAGATTTTGTAACTGGATGGTAATCTGAACTGTGAAGTCAGCACACCTCTGACAAGACAGCAATTAAATAAAAGAGTTTCCTTTTGTTGGACCACCCAACCTTGGTGGGAGATGACCGTCAAGGTACAGAAAAAAAAAATCCAATGTTATTTTAAATAGCAACAGCAAATGTACAAGAAGAAAGTGCCAGCGACGCAAGCAGCTTATGTCACTTATTCCCCAACCTTACCCTTCCTTTGGGGAAGAGTTGGCATTTGCACACAGAAGAGGAATATTCAGTGCCAGAAAAGTAGACTAAAGCAAAAACTTTGGAAATACCTGGGTCTTTAATGCATTTTAGTATAGTATTTTAGTACCAGTGCATTAGCTAGGATTATATTTGTTACTGTATCAAATATAAACCCTCTGTGTACACGAGCAATAGATTCCTTGCAACTAAAGTAACAGCCGTGTTCCAGAGGGAGGCCAAATTAAAATGGCCAAAAACAAACATTCAAACTCAAAATGGATGGTTCTGATGCTTAAGCTTAAACATGATAAAGTCAGTGACCACATCAGAAATAAAGTCTTGCCTAACCAAACTTATAAAGAGTAATATATTAGTTATACTGACACATGCAAGTGTTTCTTTTTTGGGTCATCCTGCCTTGGTAGGAGATGGCCAGGATGTTGAAAACATCAATATGAAAATTATCAAGTTGCAAAACTGTGATATGTATAAGAATACAGTGTGTAACAGAAACATGTCTCACTCCTAATGTAAAAGTGCAGATATGCCTCTAGTAGTTCTCCGAACTGTCAGGGGTTCAAGAATATCTGGGTGATAAAACAGTTTATGGGTGTATAAAAAGAAAATATACTACTATAATTTGATTAATTCTATAACTGTGGTCATTTTAACAGAAATATCAATACATGTACTGAATTTCTCTCCTCAAAAATAAGTATCATTACTGTATTTTTTTTTTAAATTACACATTCCTTTACAAATTAAAAAATACACTGTATTAATCCACCATACATTTACCAATTATGCATCTCAAAAAATAAGTGGAACACTTCATAAAAAAAAAGACAAATCAAAAACAAAAAGCAAAAATGCACCTGAAAGACACCCGTCTTTTTTTGTGGGTCCAGATATACTTATCAAGGCGAGTGAAGCGATACTTGAATTTCATACGTTCCTTGATCTTCTGAGGGATGACTGATAAGGTAGTGAGGGTGTTTCCCAGAAACAGGATGAGGAATAGAATAGCCAGTGATGATACCTGAAAATGATAGAATTAAAGACAGTTAAACAGCCAGACTTTCACTATAGATTTTTTTTTTTTTTTTTTTTCAACAAGTCGGCCGTCTCCCACCGAGGCAGGGTGACCCAAAAAAGAAAGAAAATCCCCAAAAAGAAAATACTTTCATATCATTCAAACATTCACCACACACTCGAATTATCACTGTTTTTGCCAAGGTTGCTTCAGACATACACACAGTTAGAAAAAGCAAAACATTAAATTTACATTCTCACAACTATCCCTTCTAAACTGCCAATATCCCAACACCTCCTTAATGCAGCATTTGTATTCCCATTCCAGGACTCAAGTCGACTATATGAAAATAACCGGGTTTCCTGAATCCCTTCACTAAATATTACCTGCTCACACTTCCAACAGGGTCGCAGGTCCCAAGTATCATTCGTCTCCTTCCTCTATCTAAAACGTCACGCAGCTTTGTGGAAGTACTCAAGCCCCTTACACAAATCCTCCTTACCCCCTCTCTCCAACCCATTTCGAGGTACGACCTACCGCCTTCCTTTCCCATAGATTTATGTTTCCATATTCTACTTTTCCATTCTCTTAATGACCAAACACCTCAATAACCCTCTTATGCTCTGACTAAATTTTATTAACTCAACCCTTTCCTATTTCCACACTCCGAAATTTTTGATAATATTTGACAACAAAATTGCCTTAAACAGAATCTCCACTGCCTCCAAACCGTCTCCTCGTGCATTTACCACCAGCTTCACACCATATAAGAGTGTTGGTATATATTACTTTCTAAATTCTTCCTTGATTTTTTTGCCCCATAGATAACATTTTTTGACTCCACATATACTCGAACGACCACTCACTTTTTTTCCCTCATCAATTCTTGATAACCTATTCATAAACCATCGCCGGACCGTCTACTCAAGTATCTGAAAACTTTACTTCTTCTACTCCCCTCCCATTTGAATCCATTTTTCTTTATCTAAATCCCTTGACACTTTATCCCTTACTCTTTTCTATGTTTTACTTTCAAACTTCTACCTTTACAACATTTCCCCAAAAATCATCCATAACCTTTGCAATTTTCTTTGAATTCCCCTAAGCACAGTATATCAGCAAAAAAGTAACTGTGTCAATTCCCATTTTGAATTTGTTCCCCCAATTTAATCCCACCCTTCCCCAAAAACCCCCTGATTTCTTTCCCTTAAAAAACCCCCTTTAAAAATATATTAAAAACCAGGGGCATTAAAACCCTCCCCGTCTAAGACTACTTTTACCCGGGAAAATTTTCCCCTCTCTTTAACACCCCAAAACCCGGCCCCACTATCCTCAAAAAACTCTTTTCAGATTTAATAAAATTACCACCTATTCCCTATACTTGCAAAATCTGCCACATTGTTTTTCTATCCACTCTTATATGCCTTTTTAAAACCAAAAATGCAATAAAAACTTCCCTATCTTTTCTAATATGTTCACATTATGCTTCAATGTAAAACCTGATTACACATCCCCTACCCACTCTAAAAACCCCCTTGCTCGCCCCAATCCTACATTCAATTTTTTTTACATAGAATAGTTTTATATGCACAAAAGATTTCAGGTGCATTTACTAAGGAGTACACAAACCCAAACACAATCAAAGCACAGTTTATTAAATTTTGTAGTTTGTAGTTTTTAAGAAGTTCCTAAATACACACACCACTGTTTTAGGAAGTCGGCCACTTGTGTTATGGCACGAGTTCACATTTAAAAGCAAAAATGTTAAAAACATTTAATATTTTTTTATCTGCTCTATCCACCTTAGACTTTCTTGTGAACCAAACACTGTCAAACATTACTGAGATTAGAGCTTTTGCAAAGACGAAAACTAACAACCTCTAGTTTTGTACCCTTACAGCTGTGTGGTAATGTATTTGGCTTGTAACTGAAAGAACCTTAGTTTAACCCTTTCAGGGTCCAAGGCCCAAATCAGGAGTCACGCACCAGTGTCCAAGAATTTTCTTATGAAATCGTAAAGAATCTTTTTGTGAAGGTAATAAAACAAAAAGTACGAAATTTGGTGGAAAATTGACGAAATTATGCTCTCGCGAATTTTGATGCGTCAGCGATATTTACGAATCGGCGATTTTGCCGACTTTGACTCCCATTTTAGGCCAATTACATTATTCCAATCAACCAAATTCTTAGCTATTTCACTAGTATTACTTCTATTCTATCGATTGAGCACAAGAAATCGCCAAGTCAACTGTTTCAACTACAAAATAAAGTGATCGGAAATTGTTAATTTGGCCAATTTAACACAAAGTTCAAAATATTCCAATTTCAAAATAGGGTCCAGAATGAACAATGTAGGCATTCCTGGCACTAAACTAACATTTCCTCTGTTCATTAGTTATGTTTTGAGGCTTTACAAAAAAATTCCAATTTTGATTTTTTATTCACATAATGAATTTTTATTCACACCAAAAAATAGAAGATTTACTGTTATGCAATACTGTAATAATTGTATAAATATCATCACCATATTTGTGAATGTATATTAGACGTGTGAGGTCGTTTGTTTACTCTTGAATATCGGCAAAAATTTAACATTTCTGCTACTTTGAGCTCAGTTTCAAGCCATTTCCAGTGCTAAAACCAATCAAAATCATCTCTATTTCTGTAATATGTCTTCCATTCTATCAAATGAGACAAGAAATCGCAAATACAACTATAAAAAACATACGAAAAAACACTGCAAAGTTGCTGTTTTAATTGAAAAATCATGATTTCATTTTTTTCTCTAATTATACACAGTGTGCTGCAGGATCTGTTTTATGTGGTGCACACATACCACACAGATGTATTCTCTCTTATCTAGGCCCAAATGTACCACTCACAGTTTATCAGAGTGAGCTGAGCTCATGGCGTAGATCTACGGTTTGGACCCTGAACGTAAAGCCGTAGATCTACGGACGGACCCTGAAAGGGTTAAACCCTTAGGCAAGATGAAACATATGCAAGTTCCTTTACACCAGTTGCACAGTTCACCAAGTAGATACCTTAAGTATTAGCAGACTGTTGCAGGATGCAGCCTAAGGAAGGGTACTCAAGGAACCCAACAAATATAAGCTTCACTGCTCGATTTTATTGCTGTGTCCCTACAAGGTCAATAATCCATTAAGTCTTCTACTTCTGTACTCTCACACATTCCTCTCTTAAGCACTAACCCTTTTGTGCAGCATTTAACTTTAACACATTGGCCCTCTCCACTTATCTCTGATGAGTGCATAGATTATTTCTACTACCAGAGCCCAACCTTGGGCCAGGCTTTTCTGGTATTTATTTTAATAATTATCTTACTCCTGTATTCCATGCCATAAAAGTAGAGCTGTCAACAAAACATACCAACCATAATCCAAACTCTTAATTCAACTTACGTGCCATTCTGCATTTTCAGTAAAGGAGAGGACGTAGAGTGTGTAAGCATTATAAAGCTCCCACAAATATCCTATTAAGAGAAAGGGTATAATGAATCCAAGACCACGCCACATCCAGTGGTGAAAGCCTTCAACTGTAATATCCATATTGTGGCTTTCCCCAAGAGCTTTGAGTCGGTAGAGACAGCCACGCTGGTACATGAACAACAGGTACTGTACAAAACCTGAAGAAAAACCATTTCATTAATTGGCATTATCTTTGTATGTTTTGACGATTCAAAATCCAACACTAACTCTCTTAAAAATTAGGTGGCCTTGTACCTTGATAACCAATTTACAGGTGGGTCCTGCTTACATGGCAGGTTAGGTTCCAGGATACTGCCATATGGCAGAAACTGCTGTAGGGTGAATCACCCTTTTTTTCCCCACTTATAAATACATATAAATGCCTATGAACACATTTACACTATCATATATTAAGTTAGCACTAGAACTAGGCATAAAAAAGTAAAGTGCACATACAGTACACTCATCATTTACTTTAAAATATTTGAAGTCTTAATGAAGAGCGAGAGGCAAGTAGTATTTATTGTAGGAAGTCAGGTGTGGTAGTCCATCTGGCTACCACACCTCACAATTAAGTTTGTTTTACAATGATTGTATATATTTTGTTTATATGATATGTAACTTATTTGTTATATAATGTTGAAAAAATATAGATGGATTAATGAAAATATCTAACAATATTCACCAAAGAGTGGATTTTTTTTTTTTTTATGAAAAAAGCAGGCCATCTCCTACCAGGCAGAGTGGCCCAAAAATGAAAAACTCTTCCACCATCATTCAACACTCACTGTAATTCACATATACAGCCTCTCCTCACTTAACGACAGAGTTCCATTCCTAATACCGCATCGGCAAACAAATTCGTTGCTAAACGAGGAACATACTACAATGGTAGTGGGTTTATGTCAACCTTCTTTGATATTGCTTTAATGTCACCTTTGTACCATTTACAACATTATTAGTATATTTTAAAATGTTTATACAGTAGTGTACTGTATATTGTAATAAACAGAATAGAGGAAATCTGCTCTAATATACATTATTTAGGTATGCTTACTGGTCAGAGAGCACGTTGTAAGTCCAAGTCGTAGGTAAACAAGTCGCTAAGTGAGGAGAGGCTGTAATCACTGTCTTTGCAGAGGCGTGTAGATATGACAGTTCAGATGTCACTCAAATCAGCAAATATCCCAAACCCATCCTTAAAAGTGCAGGAATTGTACTTCCCATCTCCAGGACTCAAGTCCGGCTCACTGGTTTCCCTAAATCCCTTCACAAAATATTACCCTCCTCACACCTCAACAGCTCATCAAGTCCCAAAAACCATTCATTTCCATTCACTCTTATCTAATATGCTTACACATGCCTGCTGCATATCTAAGCCCCTTGGCAAACAAAACTTCTCACCCTCTCTTCAACACTAGAGATGCTCGGCGATTTTAACGTATACCTGCATGCCATCACAGTGTGTTAGTTTAGATACAGGTACACAAGTACAATTATAAGAGTATATATGAAATATGCAATAACTTTAAAACACTTATTTTCTGCATAATATTCATGCTACATCAAACAACAGATCTTTAAATTTCCAGCCACTGTACTTCTAAACATGCTATTAAAAGTTTGGCTGATGCAGTGTATACTGGAAGATGTCTAGGAATACCACAGTGTTTCATGAGCACTAAAGCACTTCTGTTTTACAAGCTTTCATTTTCAATTTTAGCATATATTACTGTCTTTTTATAAATATTACCGTGTCAAATTTCTACAGTTTTACTATCTATCATTCATGTTTATGCAACCTCACTGTTTTGACCAAGTGGCACACCACAGTCTTTCAAGCAAGTTCTCTTAGCTAAATGTAATAAGAATTTACTTAATTTCTGATGGAGGAAAATTTCAGTACTACCTGTTAATATGCGTTTGATTAATGAATTCAGTGATTAAAACTTAAAAAGTTTTTGAAAAGTGTGGCACAGTAGATATAAAAAAATTTTTTTATACATTTTGTGTCAAACTGAAATTTATACAAATAACACTTACTAATATACATATTGAATAACATGAACTGCTTGCGGAATGCATAGTAGGTTTCCCCATTAGGCCAAATTAGCAAAATACCGGACAGAATAGTTGATATGAAGTGATGTGCTCTCCACCAGCCCTTGATTCTTGAACCATTCACCTGTAAACAAGGTGAAAATTTTTGGAGAAAGTTGTCAGAGTAATAAATACACAAAACTAATTTCTTAAAATGAAGAATTACAAGGTCACAGTATGAATACCAAAAATTAAAGGCAATACTGTATACTGTGCTAAGCTACAGTACAGTACAATAACAAAAGCCTTGGGGTTGGATTTCATTTTTAATAAATGTAGAAGACATGTTCAGTACATTTTAATCTTTGCAAAAAGTGACCTCCTCTCAACTGGCCAGTGAGGTGGCCCTCCCAAATACTTGGGACACCAAATACACTACAGTAAGGCCTCGATAAAATAAACCTCCATAACACAGATATGGCTAAAACAACCATAAAAATCTGGCTGGACAAAGGCTTAACATGTCCATTTAAAGAGTGACTGTACACAAATAACTCGCACATAAAAGAGAGAAGCTTACGACGATGTTTCGGTCCGACTTGGACCACTGACAAAGTCACACTAACCATAAGTGGAGTAGGACAGCTATATATAGGCAGGGAGAGGTGGTGGTAGTAGTAGTAGTAGTAGTAGTAGTAGTAAGTAGTAGTAGTAGTAAGTAGTAGTAGTAGTAAGTAGTAGTAGTAGTAAGTAGTAGTAGTAGTAAGTAGTAGTAGTAAGTAGTAGTAGTAAGTAGTAAGTAGTAGTAGTAAGTAGTAGTAGTAGTAATAGTATAGTAGTAAGTAGTAGTATAGTAAGTAGTAGTATGTAAGTAGTAGTAAGAGTATAGTAGTAGTAGTAGTAGTAGTAGTAGTAGTAGTACAAGATGGGATAATACCAACAAGATAAATTAAGACACGCGCAACACCCGGGCATCCCTATCGCAGACGTTTGGCCATCCAGCCAGCCACTGGATGGCGAAACGTCCACAACAAAGACAGCCAGACGTCGCACATGTCTTAATTTTATCAGTAGTTGTAGTAGTAGAAGAGGTAGTAGTAGTGGTAGTGGTAGAAGTGGGAAATAAGGAGGACGAGCCAGTCAAATACAAAGGAAGGGGAGCACTGCAAGAGAGCTAGGTGGCCACTGAGGGAGAGTTGGTCCTGGCTTCACGATGGACACATCCATTTTAATTGTTCCTGGGCAGTAGGGTCAGTGACAGTCTGTGCTCACATGCCATAGTCATTTTGTCTCCCATTTTTCCATGGATTTTCAGAGTTTATAATTTTATTAAAATTCCCTGTACATTATTAATAATGGCCTCCAAAGCAAGTGATAGTGCCAAGAAGCATGTGACCTTGACTTAAGCAAAAATAGCAATAGGGAAGCTGGAGGCTGGCATTTCAGTAGCCCAGGAGGGAGGAGTAGCAAAGCAGTGTGACACTCATAGAAGCAAGGAAAAGCTTACAGCATAAGCTATGCAGTGTAGCCACTAGACTAAATAGTTCTTCAGCTTTTCCTAGGAAACATGAAATTGGCCCAAGAATTGGAATACTGTACATCTGTCACCTCATCTATCCACCAGAAAATGTAAGAAAATTTCCTGTACTGTACTCGACTGGATTGCACTGTACTGTATAATAGCATAATACTGTTTTGTACTCTAATTTATGCTGAGTATGTTTGGTTGACCAGTACACAAGACCAAGTCTTTTATTGGGGGGATTTATGTCTGGTTGTCAATCAATTAAGCAGACTACATCAGCATATAACTTTAAATATAACGGATTTTTGCTAAGATGGACACTCCTCCCCCTCTATTAGTTAGTTTTATAGTGTTCACTGTACTCCTTTAACTGTTTCATGTAGATCTATATGCCCCATGAAGCCTAATAAAGCATGCATCAACTCTTATATCCAGTGACTTGATTGAAGTAAGAGAACAAACATTTATACAGCACTATGACCACCTTGGGGTCTTGTATTCCAAAGTTATACCCTACAAAAATGATCCATACTTAATGCTACAGTAGCAAAACTGATTAGTAATAAATGGGCCTAGTGAGAGGACAATACATTATGGAAAAAAGAGCAATGGTACTTTTTAATAGTACTCTAAATGAAAGTAATACAAACATTAAACAAAATCTGTACAAAATGAGCAGATAAAAAGTCTGAGAAAATCTGCATATAAAACAAAATGAAATGCTATAATATCAACATGTTGGAAAGACACCATAAATGCCTTATTTATTGTAAGGCTTTCCAATACAGTACTGTACTTTAGACCTAGGAAACAGTCTTTTCTTCCCTGTCTTACAAACCTTGAGAATGCTTTCCCTGATGGTTAAGGTGCAGTAGTACCACACCAAGAGGAACATGTGAATGAGATCAGCTGTCCTGCAATGCATAAAATATTGCATTAATTTCAATTAATGATTTCTTGTTTATTGCATGTATATGATTTAGAGACGGTGCAAAGAGCACTAGAACCAAGGTACTTATATATTTATATAATTATAGATGGAGCTGAAAAAAGTGAATACTAGGGTGTTGAGAAGAGGTGTGGGATTAAAAACAATATTTTTAAGATGTAAAAATTGTCACTGTTACTGTTTGTCAATGACAGTCTTTTTGGGAGATTCTGAAGAGAAGTTGCAAAGGTCGATGGAGGAGTATAGGAGGGTGTACAAGAATAAGAGTGAACATACAGAAGAGCAAGGTGATGAGAGTAACAAACAGTTAGGGTAAAAACAATATCAAACTGGAGAAGATGAGTATGAAGTAAAAGCATTTTGATATTTAGGAGGCAATGTATTGTTAGATGGGTCCATGAATGATAAGGTGAACTATAGAATAAAGGAAAAACAAGTGTTGAGGTATCTATTTTTATTTTATTATCACACTGGCAGATTCCCACCAAGGCAGGGTGGCCCGAAAAAGAAAAAACTTTCACCATCATTCACTCCATCACTGTCTTGCCAGAAGGGTGCTTTACACTACAGTTTTTAAACTGCAACATTAACACCCCTCCTTCAGAGTGCAGGCACTGTACTTCCCATCTCCAGGACTCAAGTCCGGCCTGCCGGTTTCCCTGAATCCCTTCATAAATGTTACTTTGCTCACACTCCAACAGCACGTCAAGTATTAAAAACCATTTGTCTCCATTCACTCCTATCAAACACGCTCACGCATGCCTGCTGGAAGTCCAAGCCCCTCGCACACAAAACCTCCTTTACCCCCTCCCTCCAACCTTTCCTAGGCCGACCCCTACTCCACCTTCCTTCCACTACAGACTGATACACTCTTGAAGTTATTCTGTTTCGCTCCATTCTCTCCACATGTCCGAACCACCTCAACAACCCTTCCTCAGCCCTCTGGACAACAGTTTTGGTAATCCCGCACCTCCTCCTAACTTCCAAACTACGAATTCTCTGCATTATATTCACACCACACATTGCTCTCAGACATGACATCTCCACTGCCTCCAGCCTTCTCCTCGCTGCAACATTCATCACCCATGCTTCACACCCATATAAGAGCGTTGGTAAAACTATACTCATACATTCCCCTCTACCTCCAAGGACAAAGTCCTGTGGATATAAATTTATCTCTGAAGGCAAAAAGGAAAAAGTACCAGTCTACTGGTATCAGCTCTTATGTGGGTACAAGACATGGGCTTTGAATATTGTAGCAAGGACAGAGCTGGAGGAGTGAAGGTGTCAAGAATTCAGATTGTGCAAATATGTTGGTCTAGGTTTATAAGAGGTATAATTCAGAAGGCAGGGGAGGAATGGGATAGTTTAGGAATTTAAAAAGAAAAAGAATGGACTAAAATAGGATGACCAAGAGGTGTACAAATCAAGGGTGGGAGGGATAAGGAATGTCTCAGGGAAGGTTGGAGGAAGGATATGAAGGAGGTTGAAAGTGATAAACTCTGGAGCCTCTAGCAGCTATGTAGGTGTGGAGTCAGAATGGAGAAGAGTTGTTCCAAGGATTTGACATGCTGTTGGAATGTGAGGAAAGTAACATTTATGAAATGATTTAGAGAAACCAGTTAACCAAACTTGAGACCCAGAGGTGGAAAGTACAATGCCTGTTCTCTGAAGTAGGGGTAGGGATGTTTCAGTTTGGAGGGTCATTGGAATTTGTAATGTTTGCACAAATCTGGCAAAGCAACTACTAAGTGACGGTGGTTAATGTTTCATTATTTGGGCTACCCAGCCTTGGGAGACAGCTGGTGTAGATTTTAAAATTACAAAAAGTCACCATTTTACTCTGCCCATAAAAACTATTTATAGTAATTTCAATGCATGGCAGTCACTCAGCTTTCCCACTCGTATGTAATTTAGGCACATTTCATCACCCATTAACAATATTCATGCCATTAAAGTAATCACTATTAAAATTATGTGCTACCCTACCTTTGACGAGTGTTGAGAGAGTCTCTACTCTTGAAGTCGTGTTCACATGTAAAACCCCTACACAGATTATGACAGTTTTTTCATTTTCACAAATTCATGTTATTAACAGTATTCCATCTTACCAAACATCACAATCAGTTCACATTCCATTTAAGCTCTACAGCATTTGTACTTGCTGTTGCACATATATTTTACAGATTAGAATTAGCATTTTCTACTGTGCATAAAGTTATTCACATTCTCCATTACCAAAACTAATAAAGGAGCAATTTTAAACACTTATAAATCATTAAGCATTAATAAGAATAATACTTTACTGCATACAAATAATTACCTGATATTTGTAAGGATATTGAAGGTAGAGATGGCAAAAGCTACCAGATTTATGACAAGTTTAAACTTCTCGTACTCATCTTTATAGCGATACCTGATGACAGAAAACATTACAAGACATTAGTCAGTGGCAATAACTTATCTGACACAGTTGAACCCAGTAGTTCATGAGGGTTAGGTTCTTGGAAGTGGTGTGAACAATGAAGCTGCATATAACAGGAAATTACACATTTTTTTTTTTTTTTTTTTTTTCAACAAGTTGGCCGTCTCCCACCGAGGCAGGGTGACCCAAAAAAGAAAGAAAATCCCCAAAAAGAAAATACTTTCATCATCATTCAACACTTTCACCACACTCACACATTATCACTGTTTTTTGCAGAGGTGCTCAGAATACAACAGTCTAGAAGCATACACATATAAAGATACACAACATATCCTTCCAAACTGCCAATATTGAAATTACACATATTAAGAATTATTTAAATGTTGTTGATCATCTTTTAATATACATTGCTCGAAACTAATATTGACATTCATGAAAATGAGTACGCTTTGAATTAAGTTATTTTTTATATTGAAGAGTCATGCATTAGACAAAAGTCATGGGGTGTAAGAAACAATGAATAAATGATCAATTCACAATACTGTATAATCAAATCATGCTGAATTACTATCAACTTCTATAATTATATTTATCACTAATGCATATATATTTTTAGGCCAATTATTTTTTCATGATGGCTGTACAACCAATAGTCCACACTGATATAAGAAGAGGGTATAACTACAAACTATGAAAGAGCCTAAACTGAGAAGAGTAACAAAGAAGGCAAGAATTAGGTCTATGTCATGTGAAGACATAAGAACAAGAGAGAAGGGTATGATCATGATATACAAGGTAGGCAAGCAGAGGCTCTTTACCAAAGATGTAACAAAATTACAAAGACATAGCTGAAAAATTACAAAGCCAGATGAGCAACACTGATATCAGAATAAGTTTCTTTAACATAAGAGTATGAAGAGGAATTAGTTGAGCAAGGAGAAAGCAGACTATACAGGGGTTCAAGAATATATGACAGTTATATATGTTAAACCAATTTTAAAGGCAGGGCAATGAGCTAGAGCTCATCCCACCATGAACTCAAATAGGTAATTATAGTAAAGCTATCTGACAGTAGTTAAGACTTATGACTAGCTGCTGTTTTGACCCCTGCAAACAAGGAGAGTACAATACTGGTGCATAAAGTAATGTACATAAATGCAGTAATATGCAGTGGAGATGTCATGTCTGAGGGCAATGTGTGGTGTGAATATAATGCAGAGAATTCGTAGTTTGGAAGTTAGGAGGAGGTGCGGGATTGCCAAAACTGTTGTCCAGAGGGCTGAGGAAGGGTTGTTGAGGTGGTTCGGACATGTAGAGAGAATGGAGCGAAACAGAATGACTTCAAGAGTGTATCAGTCTGTAGTGGAAGGAAGGCGGGGTAGGGGTCGGCCTAGGAAGGGTTGGAGGGAGGGGGTAAAGGAGGTTTTGTGTGCGAGGGGCTTGGACTTCCAGCAGGCATGCGTGAGCGTGTTTGATAGGAGTGAATGGAGACAAATGGTTTTTAATACTTGACGTGCTGTTGGAGTGTGAGCAAAGTAACATTTATGAAGGGATTCAGGGAAACCGGCAGGCCGGACTTGAGTCCTGGAGATGGGAAGTACAGTGCCTGCACTCTGAAGGAGGGGTGTTAATGTTGCAGTTTAAAAACTGTAGTGTAAAGCACCCTTCTGGCAAGACAGTGATGGAGTGAATGATGGTGAAAGTTTTTCTTTTTCGGGCCACCCTGCCTTGGTGGGAATCGGCCGGTGTGATAATAAAAAAAAATAAAATAATTTCTTCTAAGAAGGACTTTCTTTAGGTACAGCTTTGGCTACACTTACCACACACATACTTACTTCTCCTCTTTATTAAGTATTGAAACATTAATGTTTCCAAGGATGATCTTGAGGTAAAGACCATTGGGCTTGGGAATGTTATTTTCCATGTCATAAAGCTGAGCCTTGCGACGAATGAGGTCAGTCTGTAGTAGTTGATTCCTCTCTCTGTTGTCTGGGTCATCTTTATGATTTAACCTGCCAAACACATCTCCATTAATTTTAAATATTAGATATTTCACTAATATTTTCAATAAAAACTAAACTAAATAACATGAGACTTGCCATTCAATTTAATTATAGGGAAGCACTAAACCCATACAGGTCATAATGCCTGGGAGGCATTTAGGTTCAAGGAAGGGAAGGGTAAGTCCAGTTTCTTGGATTATGAGCCCCTCACTGGCATAAAGAACCTCCCCTGAGGGGATTCAATATAAAACCTTTAAAAACAAACCCTCCAATGCAAGAATCAAAATATTCTGTACCTCATATTACATTATCAATTCTTCTCAGATACAAAAATAATTTATGATATACAATATTGCAATACCCAAGGCTTCAAACACAAACAAACTGAGACTAACTTTTTAAGGGATTGCTTGATTATACTTATGCGATAACGCTGGTGTGCGATCCCTTTGATGCACTTCTGCTGCAACTGTGTCAAGTCTTCTAATTTCTCTCTATATTCCTTGTGAATTTTCTGAAAGAATATTTTATAAAATCATTTCTAGTTGGGAACAAAAAATCATTATCTGCCAAAGTGAACACAAGTAGATAAAGTTGAGAAATATTGGAGATGCATATTTAATGCAAGGACCAGAGCGCCGCCAGGTGACGGGCCGGGGACCAGAGCGCCGCCAGGTGACGGGCCGGGGACCAGAGCGCCGCCAGGTGACGGGCCGGGGACCAGAGCGCCGCCAGGTGACGGGCCGGGGACCAGAGCGCCGCCAGGTGACGGGCCGGGGACCAGAGCGCCGCCAGGTGACGGGCCGGGGACCAGAGCGCCGCCAGGTGACGGGCCGGGGACCAGAGCGCCGCCAGGTGACGGGCCGGGGACCAGAGCGCCGCCAGGTGACGGGCCGGGGACCAGAGCGCCGCCAGGTGACGGGCCGGGGACCAGAGCGCCGCCAGGTGACGGGCCGGGACCAGAGCGCCGCCAGGTGACGGGCCGGGGACCAGAGCGCCGCCAGGTGACGGGCCGGGGACCAGAGCGCCGCCAGGTGACGGGCCGGGGACCAGAGCGCCGCCAGGTGACGGGCCGGGGACCAGAGCGCCGCCAGGTGACGGGCCGGGGACCAGAGCGCCGCCAGGTGACGGGCCGGGGACCAGAGCGCCGCCAGGTGACGGGCCGGGGACCAGAGCGCCGCCAGGTGACGGGCCGGGGACCAGAGCGCCGCCAGGTGACGGGCCGGGGACCAGAGCGCCGCCAGGTGACGGGCCAGGGACCAGAGCGCCGCCAGGTGACGGGCCAGGGACCAGAGCGCCGCCAGGTGACGGGCCAGGGACCAGAGCGCCGCCAGGTGACGGGCCAGGGACCAGAGCGCTGCCAGGTGACGGGCCAGGGACCAGAGCGCCGCCAGGTGACGGGCCAGGGACCAGAGCGCCGCCAGGTGACGGGCCAGGGACCAGAGCGCCGCCAGGTGACGGGCCAGGGACCAGAGCGCCGCCAGGTGACGGGCCAGGGACCAGAGCGCCGCCAGGTGACGGGCCAGGGACCAGAGCGCCACCGGGTAACAAGTGAGGGGTCAAGATACCACCGGGTAACACGTCAGGGATCAAGGTACCCACAGGTTACAAGTCAGGGATCAAGGTACCACCAGGTTTCGAGTCAGGGATCAAGGTACCACCAGGTATCGAGTCAGGGATCAAGGTACCACCAGGTATCGAGTCAGGGATCAAGGTACCACCAGGTATCAAGTCAGGGATCAAGGTACCACCAGGTATCAAGTCAGGGATCAAGGTACCACCAGGTATCAAGTCAGGGATCAAGGTACCACCAGGTATCAAGTCAGGGATCAAGGTACCACCAGGTAACAAGTCAGGGATCAAGGTACCACCAGGTTACAAGTCAGGGATCAAGGTACCACCAGGTAACAAGTCAGGGATCAAGGTACCACCAGGTTACAAGTCAGGGATCAAGGTACCACCAGGTTACAAGTCAGGGATCAAGGTACCACCAGGTTACAAGTCAGGGATCAAGGTACCACCAGGTTACAAGTCAGGGATCAAGGTACCACCAGGTAACAAGTCAGGGATCAAGGTACCACCAGCTTACAAGTCAGGGATCAAGGTACCACCAGGTAACAAGTCAGGGATCAAGGTACCACCAGGTAACAAGTCAGGGATCAAGGTACCACCAGGTAACAAGTCAGGGATCAAGGTACCACCAGGTAACAAGTCAGGGATCAAGGTACCACCAGGTAACAAGTCAGGGATCAAGGTACCACCAGGTAACAAGTCAGGGATCAAGGTACCACCAGGTATCAAGTCAGGGATCAAGGTACCACCAGGTATCAAGTCAGGGATCAAGGTACCACCAGGTAACAAGTCAGGGATCAAGGTACCACCAGGTAACAAGTCAGAGATCAAGGTACCACCAGGTATCAAGTCAGGGATCAAGGTACCACCAGGTATCAAGTCAGGGATCAAGGTACCACCAAGTATCGAGTCAGGGATCAAGGTACCACCAGGTATCAAGTCAGGGATCAAGGTACCACCAGGTATCAAGTCAGGGATCAAGGTACCACCAGGTATCAAGTCAGGGATCAAGGTACCACCAGGTATCAAGTCAGGGATCAAGGTACCACCAGGTATCAAGTCAGGGATCAAGGTACCACCAGGTATCAAGTCAGGGATCAAGGTACCACCAGGTAACAAGTCAGGGATCAAGGTACCACCAGGTAACAAGTCAGGGATCAAGGTACCACCAGGTAACAAGTCAGGGATCAAGGTACCACCAGGTAACAAGTCAGGGATCAAGGTACCACCAGGTAACAAGTCAGGGATCAAGGTACCACCAGGTAACAAGTCAGGGATCAAGGTACCACCAGGTAACAAGTCAGGGATCAAGGTACCACCAGGTAACAAGTCAGGGATCAAGGTACCACCAGGTAACAAGTCAGGGATCAAGGTACCACCAGGTAACAAGTCAGGGATCAAGGTACCACCAGGTAACAAGTCAGGGATCAAGGTACCACCAGGTAACAAGTCAGGGATCAAGGTACCACCAGGTAACAAGTCAGGGATCAAGGTACCACCAGGTAACAAGTCAGGGATCAAGGTACCACCAGGTAACAAGTCAGGGATCAAGGTACCACCAGGTAACAAGTCAGGGATCAAGGTACCACCAGGTAACAAGTCAAGGGTCAAAGTCCAGGCGAGATACAGGGGAGTCAAAGTAGAATCACCAAGACACTGGTTATAACGACGCCTCACACACCTCCAGCGCCCTGTACTCGTTGCTAAGAGTCTCCCACTCCTCTATACAGGCGTCAATGGCGTTGTGCTCCATGTTGGTGCTTTAGGAGGAGTAATATCAGCAACAAAGTTCCACAACATCCATCATCAACACTTGTCTGGCAACCACTACCAACCCTCACGTTCAACTATCAACAAAAATTACAAAATCTTCCATTATCTCTTCCTCTTCTACATTTTTCTCTCTCCCTTTATTCATAAAGAACAAGAAAAAATATATTTAATTTTTTTCCTTTACTTGTGTATAATTCGGTTAAAATTTTGTGATTTTTTATTGCATTTATATACTTTTTTTATTTCTTCATAAGTAGTAATTTAATGTGATGTTTATGGCATAGATAAAAAAAATGCTTTACTCTTATATAACAAAAAATATATGTGGTGCTATAAAATATATGTGGTGCTATAAAAAATATAGCTGTATAGCCCTTGTGGCTTAGCGCTTCTTTTTGATTATAATAATAATATAAAAAATATATGTAGTGCTATAAAATATATTTGGTGCTATAAAAGTATATTTGGTGTTATAAAAATATATTTGGTGCTATAAAAATATATTTTGCTCTAACACACAATAGCCAATTAAAGTGGTGGAAAAAATAATATTATTTTTAGTAGTAGTTGGCATAAAACAACCAATATGTATATATATATATACATTAAATATACATTTTTATGTTAAATATAAAGTTTATATATAACAATGTATATCTATAATTATGTGCTGAAGACTATTATTGTATGTGATTATAGAAACAGTATGTACAAGACGTGTATAATGATCATTGATAAAGTTTATCTTATCTTATATAATATAAATTAGAGCAGCTAATGAATTTATCAATTTTATTTATAAAACAAAAAAAAAATCATGGTTCTGTATCCAACTGAAAACTTTGGATACTCATCACGTGAGTCACATTATAAATTAGCTTAAATTACTAATATAAATTAATCACATTCCACAATTTTGTCTCATAATAATAATAACTGAATTTATATGAATAATAAGATTGTAAATAAAATACAAATAATAATAGAGAGTATCCTCGTAGTCCCTGTCCGGGAGGTCAGGATCCTGGAGCTGTTGTTTTCAACATTAAAATTTACTGTTTTTTAGTCATGTTGCTCTGGTGAGTTGTGTAGTTTTAATGAGATATTGATAATTAGTCAGTTTATGTGATAAACTTTAGGAATGGTGACTTATACTGGTAGAATATTGACGATTTTTGTGAAGAAACAGTTGTGGTCCGGCCCAGTGGTCCTCACTGTTAACAGTTGTGGTCCAGCCCAGTGGTCCTCACTGTTAACAGTTGTGGTCCAGCCCAGTGGTCCTCACTGTTAACAGTTGTGGTCCAGCCCAGTGGTCCTCACTGTTAACAGTTGTGGTCCAGCCCAGTGGTCCTCACTGTTAACAGTTGTGGTCCAGCCCAGTGGTCCTCACTGTTAACAGTTGTGGTCCAGCCCAGTGGTCCTCACTGTTAACAGTTGTGGTCCAGCCCAGTGGTCCTCACTGTTAACAGTTGTGGTCCAGCCCAGTGGTCCTCACTTTAACAGTTTGTGGTCCAGCCCAGTGGTCCTCACTGTTAACAGTTGTGGTCCAGCCCAGTGGTCCTCACTGTTAACAGTTGTGGTCCAACCCAGTGGTCCTCACTGTTAACAGTTGTGGTCCACCCAGTGGTCCTCACTGTTAACAGTGTGGTCCAGCCCAGTGGTCCTCACTTAACAGTTGTGGTCCACCCAGTGGTCCTCACTGTTAACAGTTGTGGTCCAACCCAGTGGTCCTCACTGTTAACAGTTGTGGTCCAGCCCAGTGGTCCTCACTGTTAACAGTTGTGGTCCAGCCCAGTGGTCCTCACTGTTAACAGTTGTGGTCCGGCCCAGTGGTCCTCACTGTTAACAGTTGTGGTCAGCCAGTGGTCCTCACTGTTAACAGTTGTGGTCCAGCCCAGTGGTCCTCACTGTTAACAGTTGTGGTCCAGCCCAGTGGTCCTCACTGTTAACAGTTGTGGTCCAGCCCAGTGGTCCTCACTGTTAACATTGTGGTCCAGCCCAGTGGTCCTCACTGTTAACAGTTGTGGTCCAGCCCAGTGGTCCTCACTGTTAACAGTTGTGGTCCAGCCCAGTGGTCCTCACTGTTAACAGTTGTGGTCCGGCCCAGTGGTCCTCACTGTTAACAGTTGTGGTCCAGCCCAGTGGTCCTCACTGTTAACAATTGTGGTCCAGCCCAGTGGTCCTCACTGTTAACAGTTGTGGTCCAGCCCAGTGGTCCTCACTGTTAACAGTTGTGGTCCAGCCCAGTGGTCCTCACTGTTAACAGTTGTGGTCCAGCCCAGTGGTCCTCACTTAACAGTTGTGGTCCAGCCCAGTGGTCCTCACTGTTAACAGTTGTGGTCCAGCCCAGTGGTCCTCACTGTTAACAGTTGTGGTCCACCCAGTGGTCCTCACTGTTAACAGTTGTGGTCCACCCAGTGGTCCTCACGGTTAACAGTTGTGGTCCAGCCCAGTGGTCCTCACTGTTAACTTGTGGTCCAGCCCAGTGGTCCTCACTGTTAACAGTTGTGGTCCAGCCCAGTGGTCCTCACTGTTAACAGTTGTGGTCCAGCCCAGTGGTCCTCACTGTTAACAGTTGTGGTCCAGCCCAGTGGTCCTCACTGTTAACAGTTGTGGTCCAGCCCAGTGGTCCTCACTGTTAACAGTTGTGGTCCAGCCCAGTGGTCCTCATGGTTAACAGTTGTGGTCCAGCCCAGTGGTCCTCACTGTTATCAGTTGTGGTCCAGCCCAGTGGTCCTCACTGTTAACAGTTGTGGTCCGGCCCAGTGGTCCTCACTGTTAACAGTTGTGGTCCAGCCCAGTGGTCCTCACTGTTAACATTGTGGTTTCCAGCCCAGTGGTCCTCACTGTTAACAGTTGTGGTCGGCCCAGTGGTCCTCACTTAACAGTTGTGGTCCAGCCCAGTGGTCCTCACTGTTAACAGTTGTGGTCCTGGCCCAGTGGTCCTCACTTAACAGTTGTGGTCCAGCCCAGTGGTCCTCACTGTTAACAGTTGTGGTCCAGCCCAGTGGTCCTCACTGTTAACAGTTGTGGTCCAACCCAGTGGTCCTCACTGTTAACAGTTGTGGTCCAACCCAGTGGTCCTCACTGTTAACAGTTGTGGTCCAGCCCAGTGGTCCTCACTGTTAACAATTGTGGTCCAGCCCAGTGGTCCTCACTGTTAACAGTTGTGGTCCAGCCCAGTGGTCCTCACTGTTAACAGTTGTGGTCCAGCCCAGTGGTCCTCACTGTTAACAGTTGTGGTCAGCCAGTGGTTCACTGTTAACGTGTGGTCCACCGTGGTCCTCACTGTTAACAGTTGTGGTCCAGCCCAGTGGTCCTCACTGTTAACAGTTGTGGTCCAGCCAGTGGTCTCATGAATTAACAGTTGTGCATAGCCCAATGGTTCTTGTTAACAGTTGTGGTCAGCAGGGTCCTCACGTTAACAGTTGTGGTCCAGCCAGTGGTCCTCACTGTTAACAGTTTGGTCCAGCAGTGGTCCTCACTTTTAACAGTTTGTGTCCGCCAGTGGTTGCTTCACATGTAACAGTTGTGTCCACCAGGTCTACTGTTACAGTTGTGTCCACCATTGTCTCACTGTAAGTTGTGTCCAGCCATGGTCCTACGTTAAGTTGTGCCAGCAGTGGTCCTCATGTTACAGTGTGGTCACCCAGTGGTCCCACTTAACAGTTGTGTCCACCAGTGGTCCTACTGTCAGTTGGTGGTAGCCAGTGGTCCTCAACTGTAACAGTGTGTCCAGCCCAGTGTCTTTATGTTACATTGGGTCGCCAGTTGGTCCTCATGTTAATAGGTTGTGGTAGCTCATGTCCTCACTGTAAAGTTGTCAACAGTCGTTGCAAAATAGTCATCCTGCAATATAAGATTTGTATAAAAGGTTTACATTACAGAGAAAATTAAAAGTTAGCAGTTTTTTAACATATAAAATTAAAAGTCAAGTTTTCTCTGGTCTCGTTCTGTTGTCTCTCATTCAGTGTTGTTTGCACCTTGTGAAGTTTTTCTAGATTGAATCTACTTTTTTTGAATTTTATGAATTTTCTTGCCATCTAATTAAGTACAGTAAGTAAGTTTTCAGCTAACCAAATACTGTTACATAGAATTTCATACATGCAGATATTGTAGAACTGGTAACCTAAAAAAGTCAGACAGAGTGACTTATTTCCATTGGGTCTTTTACCTTATATTTATATAAAGGTATTATTTCTTTATTCTCAATATGTGTATATCTTGTGCTTAGCGCTTCTTTTGATTATAATAATAATCTACAATGAGATAAATCTTATTATCATACTAAAAGACTATGTCCTACCCGAGGTCATAAGATTATCTACATACGAGGTTTTACTAGGAATAGGTAAAATTTACACGTAGTTAGCTAAAAAATAGAAATCATTCCCTCCTTTCTGTAGCTACATTCATCAGGACACTTTTGGCAGTCTTCTTGAACTGGTTCATGCTATGACTGGCTTTGACATGTGTGGGTAATCTGTTCCATTCCTTTATTGCTGTACAATAAAAGGTGTTTGACGCCTGGCCAATGACTGTGGGTACTACAAAGTTGTGCTCTCTCCCCTAGTACTATGATTGCTTTGGTTCCCAACCTTGACAAAATTGACAGCAAGATATTCTGGACATTGTTTGTGAGCAATTTTATAAACATGATTTAGCTTCAGTTGTTTTACTCTGTCTTCAACATTCAGCATATCCAACTGCTGTAATTCATCCTGGCCTACATGTTCTCTTGGTCCCAGCCCCAGGATGAATCTTACGATTTTGTTCTGGGTGATTTGCAGTCTATCTTTCAGTTTTTTTGTCAAGGCAGAGTACCATGAAGAGCAAGCGTAATCCATATGGCATTGTATAAGGGCTAGACATAGGGTCCTGCGAGCCTCAGTAGGTAGACACTGTGCTTGTCTATACAGGAACTTCAGTCTGGCATTCGCTTTCTTTACTACACAGTTCCCTATCAATTCTCCTGACATGCATGGGTCAAAGGGGATTCCCAGATATTTTACTGATGAAACCAAAGTGATGGGCTCCCCATTACACTGAACATTAAAATTATTTACCCTTCTCAGTTTATGTTTCGTGCCAAAGAGAATGGCTTCAGTTTTCCCTAATGTAGTTTTTAGAAATGACTATTGTATGCCTAAGGATTACATATTTAGATTTGCTATGTTTAATTTATTCTCCTTTTTTCTTTAAACAGCATATTCAGTTTTTAATGCCTTTCTACATTTAGGTCTCCCATGTATATAATACTCTTTTTACATTTAGTATGATAGTTTTCCATCTCATACTTTATTCTGAATATGAAAATGCAAACCTAAAATATGCTAGAATTTTGTTGCACTTAGTATAATAAAATAATATTGTTTTTTACACTATCTTTCTTCTTGCAGATCAACAAAATGGAGCCAATTATATGCTACATCTGCAATGACAAACGTCGAATTGCAGACACCGACACGTCCGAGACAAGAATTACTAATAGCTCCAATGCAGAAACGCTCAAAGAAATTTTGATTAGGGCTCTTTCCTTAGGATACGTTGAAGATAATTCAGATAATTCAACCGAACGTGATCAGGGGAAATTTAGCAGTGGGATATGCATAGTTTCTTTAAATTCTCGATACGATGGAGGGCTTGAGGCTGTAAGTGAAAGGGTTTTATGTGACAGTGTCATCATCTGTAGAAGATGCGAATCACTCTTGAGAGATTTTGAATATCACGAAAGGACCTCTGCTAAAATAGCTGAAGAAATAAGAAAGTTTTTGACCAGACAGGGAGTAAATGAAAAAGAAGAAATAAACATAGAGAAAAATGGTGAAGGTGGACATAGTGTTATTCCAAAAGCTGCTTTTAGCACATCGGTTATAAAGCACCTGGATGAGAGGCAGGGGATACTGGCAGCTTTCAGAGCCTTAAGGAAATCAGGTGTAACAGGGGCAAAGAAAAGGGGAAGAAAAAGAAAAAATGAGCTTGTTTCTACCTCAGTAATAAATGAAAGTGGAGAGGATGAAGTTGGTGAAGACATAGAAAAGGCTTTTGCAAAGGAAATAGCAAATGAAAAAAAGAGATTACATAGTTTAGCATCCTCTAGGTCTAGTAAGCGAATTCAAAGAAGACGAGAAGATGGTTTGGTTGTTAAATGGGGAGATGCTATGTATGAAACTGAAAATAGTTCCTTGGAACCAAATGTAGATGCTGATGATATTTTTGATGATGATAGTGAGACGTGGTCAAAGCAAGATTCACAACCACGGAAAAAAAGAGGGAGGAAGCCTAGTCAGCATCATTTGATAAGGTTTACTAAACCTGCTGGTAATAATTTAACTCATCAATCACAGGATCAGTCTGATTTGAAATATCAGTGCCCATTTTGCTACAGGTATTATATTCCCTCTAATTCTCGTATACATAACTGTACATCTTACAAGAACCAGTTGAGGTGTCACCTTTGTAATATTTTCTTTACCTCATATGTAAGACTGGAAAAGCATCTAGAAGTTATACACTTGAAGCAGAAACAGGTAAAGTGCCAAGAAAAAAATTGTCAGTTCATGTGTATTTCAGAGCCTGCATTTGTATTGCACAAGCATTTTCATTTCCTTGCAGCCTTTAAAGTTGATGGGAATGAAGAAGAAACATACCTAGAAGATAATATAACTGAGTTAGATAGAGAGCACCATAGGGTTACACATGCACTAGATCCAGGAGATGGTGAAGTTACAATAATAGATGATATTCAGGGTATTCTCACATCCCCTGATATTGCTGACCAAGTGTCATTTTTACTTGACGAGAAAAGCTTCCTCACTGATGGTCAGCCGATTAACATAACTACTGATAAAGCAAGTACAAAAGCCGTAAAAGATCAAAGGAACATACTTTACATTGAAAGTAGCATGAGAGAGGATGGGAAAACAGAGCAAGGGAAAGCAAAACTATTTAAACAAGAAATCATCCCTAATAAGTCAGACTCTGTATATAAAATAGTGAGGAGAGAGATTCAGTGTCCTTTTTGTGATATGAGGTTTGAGTCTCAGAAAACATTCCAGGTTCACATGAAGGAAATTCACATAATGTTGTTTAAGGCAAAAAGTGATCGCAGTATTGGAAACAAGATAGAAAATGCTAAAGACACTGTAATTAATAAAGTATGCAGAGTTAATGTTAATGTAAAAAAAAACTTCAACATAACACCCGAGGACCTGACATACACAGTAGAAAGACTCAAAGGAAAACTAAGCAAGCCTTAGATTTATATGATTTGTCAGAGACAGCCAGTGATTGCAAAGCTTCATACACAGTGGAAAGTGACTCAGAATGTTTTTGGGACATTCTTGAAAATATAGCAGATAATGATACTGAGGTAAAAGAAAAAGGTGACTCGCCAAATAAGAGCAGCACACTAAATACAAAAAGATTACACAAATGCTTGGAATGTTCTAAGGTATTTTCTTCTAATGCTCATTTAAAAGAACATGAGGTAAGCCATTCTGACAGGCAACCATACCGATGCATAGTCTGTGATAAAGGTTTTAAGAGAAAGAATGCTTTAAGCAAGCATGTGCGCATTTTTCACCCAGATGGACCCGATACTGTTTATTGTTCCTGTGGCAGGGTGTATGCTTCTCAAGAATTGATGGAAAAACATAAAGAATGTAGTGGAAGTCACAGATTGTTAGTATGTCCGGAGTGTGGAGCATTATACAAAACTGAAGCAAGTCTAAAAAGTCATATGATACTTCATAGAGACATTGAAGGCAGTGGCTCTAATAAGTCATGGCCATTTACATGCCAATCTTGTGGTGAAAAATTCAGTAGTCAAGCATCTTTGAACAACCACATTGGGAATTTTCACAGGACCAGTGATTTTCAGTGCCAACATTGTGACAAGGTTTGCAAAACTAAGCAGTTACTTACTCACCATTGTTTAAGAAAGCACAAAATTGGTAATACAGAGTTTTCTTGTCCGGTGTGCAATAAAGTGTTTAGTATATCAAAAGATCTCCGTCGTCACCTTCAGTCTCATAATCCACAAGGATTACATAAATGTTCTGCTTGCCATGCAAAATTCAAAACACATTCCACTTTACAGTCTCACATGAGAATACACTCAAAAGGTAAACCTTATGACTGTGTTTTATGTCTTCTTCCTTTTGATACAATTGAAAACTTGAAAAGTCATATATTTTCACAACACAATATTGAAGTAGATGTGAATGAATTTTCACAGCACTGGAATCGTAAGTGCCTTGTGTGTGGGCAGATTTTTCTTCGTCGCTCTGGTCTTGCATTACACATGAAATCGCATTTAGAGTCCCATACCACTGAACTTTTATTTGTGGAAAACAGCAGTGATGATACAAGTGTTAGTAATGATATAAAGAATGAACTTAACAAAGCACCACACAATAGTGTACAATTTACGGCACTTACCGAATCTAAGGATGAGCATAAAACATCAACAGAAATTAATTGTTCAGTGAAAGTTCAATGTAGAGATATAAAAGAGAGTGACAAAAATGAAAGTGAGATACAAGCAAGACTGAAAAGCCAAAACACAGAGGAAGAGAAAAGGATGTCTCACTATATCACTATAATGGAATATCTTGAAGATGATAAGAGCATGGAAACTATGTGCAATGATGCAGAAACTAAAACCTCACTTATGCAGGGTAATGCATGTGTAACTGAGCATGTTATTGAGCCAAGTGAAGAGAATGCATGCCAAGAAACTAGAAATGATTCTAATGTTGAATATAAAATTTCTAATATGCATGAAATTCCTGATATTGCAAAAGTGCCTGTCTCCAACAAAGAAGAGGAAACTAAATATATTTGTGGAGAATGTGCACGTGTGTTCACTGATGTTGATGATCTCAAAAATCATTTACAAACATGTTACCAACAAGACACTAATGATGAATACGTAGTTGTATTTGAAGTTGATGGAAATCCGTAAAATATTGTATTTATTACATTTTTAAGCATGTAATAAAATATTGTACTATTAGTCACTAGAAATATTTCTTCTATCCCTTCTTTACAAGTTTTCTGCTTGAAGGCACTTCCTTCATGTAATGGAGATAAGTCTTAGACTGCATTGGCAAGGACTTCCTTTGCTAGGGTGGTCGTCTCCTGTGAAGACTTGACTAAATGCTGCTCTGTGCATTTGCTGTATGTGGTAACCTGTGCACTGCTCATTTCATAAAAACCCATGATTGAGTTTCAGGCATAGTCTTCACAAACCTTTTCCAGATAAAAGCCAGGCTGGTAATCTCAAGACTGCCAGCCCATAATAATAAATAATATCTTTATTTCTACATGTACAAGGTGTACAGGCCTAGCTGACATCGATGACCTACTACATAGAAAGCCGCTTGTTATGCAGAGCATTTTGGGCAAATTAGGTCAGTTTTGTCCCAGAATGCAACCCACACCAGTCGACTAACTCCCAGGTACCCATTTTACTGATGGGAAACATAGACAACCGGTGTAAAGAAACATGCCCAATGTTTCTACCCTTGTCGTGTGAAGTGAGAGCTTTAGCCACCAGGCTACAGGGCCTAGTAATTCTTTTGATAATTCCATTAAAATAAAGTACTGTATATATGTAGATATACATGCACAAGATAAAATGAAATACAGCAACATGGGTGTATATCAAAGAGGATTATTGAACCAATATTTTTACAAAAGTTTATTATTTGCTACTTATATTTAACAGTAAAATAGATATACGTACGTACTGTATATAAACAATCTTTTTGGTTCCCAGATAAAAAATTCAAAGAAATCTACTACACAATTTGTAAATGTTATTGTGCACAGTATACAAAAATGTAAAATATAGAAAAAACAATGCTTATCAGGTTTGGTCACTTATTTTCACGGATGCTACAGTACAGTACAGTACAGAATCCTTTATCTGAAATTTCAAAATCTGAAAACCTCCAAAATCCTAAAGTTTTTAGTGTTGACATGATGTGCCAAAAATGGCTCATACAGTGCAAGACATGGTAGCGGCTCAATCCTCCATCTGTTGGGCACAGACAGACCAGCTTCATGTTTGTACTAGTGCCAGTTTGTTGTCAGCAGCAATTACCATATTTTATGGTAATGTAAACACTATTTTTTTCCAAAATAAGAACCTAAAATTTACCCAGCATTTTGGAGGCTGAAGATTACATTGCTCATAGGCCTCAACCTAAGTCTAAAGAAGTGTTTCAATACTAGACAGTAATCTATGCTCTTGTCTATGACCCAATAATGAATAGTTTAAACCATTTTGTATAAAATAATGAAAAAAAAATCACAAATAATCTTAAAATTTGATGGCGCTTAGCAGCGGTAGGCTAAGGTAAACCAGGTGGAGTTAGGTGAACTACGGTAGTATCAGTTGGCTAATTCACCTGCTTACCATCAAACAACCCGGTAATAACATTTTTACTCACTTCAAACGATCTTTATATTAACCTTTTTGGGGTAAGTGCCGTTGTGCTATAGCTTGAGCTTAGACTCCATCCCACAGTACTATGTGATGAGCTCAGCTCACTCAGATAAGCTGTGAGCAGTAAATTTTGGCCTAGATATGAGAGAATGGGTGTGTGCTGAGTGTGCACTGTATCAAAAAACATCATACCCCATTCCCCATGCGCAGGTGAGAGCGATATATCGTAGTCTACACCTGGAAGGTTCTGGAAGGACTGGTCCCTAATATGCACACAGAAATCACTCCATATGAAAGCAAAAGACTTGGAAGGCGATGCAACATACCCCCAGTGAAAAGTAGGGGTGTCACTGGTACACTAAAAGCAAACGCAGTAAGTGTCTGGAGCCCAAGACTGTTCAACAGCCTCCCACCAGCAATAAGGGGCATTACCAGACAACCCCTGGTTATCTTCAAGAGGGAGCTGGAGAGATACTTAAAGTGGGTGGCGGGTCAGCCGGGCTGTGGGTCATACATTGGACTGCGTGCAGCCAGCAGTAACAGCCTCGTTGATCAGGCCCTGATCCACCGGGAGGCCTGGTCGTGGACCGGGCCACAGGGGCGTTGATCCCCGGAATACCCTCCAGAGAGACTCCAGGTAGATGAAGTACATGATAGAAAAACAAAACTGACCATGTGTGTGGTTAAAAATAGTGACCTTGCAGTGTACTTTTGTATAGTTTTCTTGGTATTATTTGAAAAAATGGGAGATATATTACAGAAATAGAGATGATTTTGAATGGTTTGAGGATTGTAAGTAGCTTGAAATTGAGTTCACAGTAGCAGAAATATTCAATTTTTGTCAATACTCCAAAGGACACTAATCACGTCACTTGTCTAATACGTGTTCACTACTGTGCTGACATTATTTATGCAATTACTATTAAAATAATGCAGTTTCCTGCATAACAGTAAATGTACATACTGTACTACTTATTAAAAAGTAAAATCAATAAACTTTAAAGACAGAGCTACATGCTGAGGAAGAGAGGACTGACTGGGATTTAACCCTTAAATGGTCCAAACATATATACGTATATGTTCTCTTGCGTAGCGCCCCAAACGTATGTATACATTTCCTTTGTCATTCATTCAACATTGGCACAAAAAGCCTGAGTCGCCTAGACATAAGAGAATGGGTGTGCGCACTCACTATGCGCCACATGAAAAAATGGGGAATGCCTGGGTACCGTATGCTCTTTTTTCCTATTAAAAAAAAAAAAACAATTTTTTTTTCTCAAAAAATTCAGGGTGCTATGCGAGAGAACGTATATATATGCATTTGGACAATTTAGGGGTTAACAGATCAAGAACAATCTCCTGTATACTGGAGAGCGAGAGCAATGCATAATATGATATTTTTGTAACTAATCATGTTAGAGCATTTTTTAGTGCTGTCTCACATAAATATAGTAATGGGTTTTTAGCACTGGTTCAAGTAAATTCAACTTGTTTGAGGAAAACTTTTTCCAAAACTTAACCAGTCAGATATGGAGGGCATTTATCTTCTTTTTGTAAGCAGTGATAATGTTTATTTGGTACAATACCTGTACAATACAGTATCCTGTTTAGACTTGGGGTCCCATCCCCAAGCTGACCCATTGTATAGATGCAAATATACAAATATTCCAAAATCAGAAAAAATCCAAAAGACTTCTAGTCTCAAGCATTTCAGATGAAGGATTCTCGACTGTGCTGTCTCACGAGGCATCAGTGCGACATATACTATTATGAAATTGGGTAATTGTATTTGGAAAATTGCCTAATAATATACAGACTGGCTGACCAGGCAAGCACAAGATGAGCCTGGCCCATGGCCAGGCTCTGGGAGTAGATAAAAACTCTGAACTCAACAAAGCCATATCTTAACACTAGCACTGTCTTGATTATCCGAAGTACAATAACCGAGTCCAAAGATATCATGGTGCAGAGTTGATCTTTGATGTTACAGACTGCATGTACTGAGAGATAGTATTAAGTATTATTATAATAAAAAAAGAAGTGCTAAACCATAAGGGCTGATAGTATTAAGTAAAAGTAATAAGTATGTAAATGCCTCCATAGGGAGGTGGAGAAGAATCCTTCCTCCATAAGCCGTGCATATCATAAGAGGAGACTAAAATGCCAGGAGCAAGGGGTTGGTAACCACTTCTGTATAAATTACTAAATGTAATAAGAGGAAACTTGTTTCTTCTTTTAGGGTCACCCAGCCTCAGTGGGAGACTGCTGGTGTGTTGAAAAAATAAGTCAATGTATTTAACAATACGTGTAAATATAGAATGTGCTGACAGAATTGCTCTGCTTACAATACCAGTGATAAATGGTGTGAAAATATTAAAGTGCAGTACGTATTTATATATGTGTGAAGATATGTGAATAGCATGAATGTGTACCTGTATGTACATTTTCTGTACAATTACACTCCTTGTACAACACACATTATAATTTTTTCATACATTTATTGTACACTATTGTTATATGTCCACTGCATATAGAAACACATGTCCTGTCTCAAGGAATGGATTTGGCATTGCTAGTGTTTGAGTCATATTATAATGTTTAAGCAAGGATGACAAAACTCATAGTCCAAGCTTTGCAGTTACTCACAACTGGTTCTGTTAATTAAGACATGGGTGTACATACCTACAGTACTTGCTGCCAAGGAGGGTGACATTCTTGTTAAGGCACTCAGTGCCAAAATTTCTCAACACATTTAATGGCTCTTTTAACCTTTTCATTTCAACACAATTGCAGAATTAATGTTACATTACTTTTTTCCATATTCAATTACAATAGGCTTATCATGCAACATATAACCATTACAAGTATTAAGGGCATTTGTTGCAATCTCTTCATTCTCGAATGTAACAAATGCTTGCCCTTTCATGCGACCACCTAAAATCCTATATATTATTTTAGGGCCAATGTTAGATTCAAAATGTCCCATAATGGATGCTAAGTCATGAGACGAGGTTTTGTTAGACAAGTTTTTTATATATAATGTAGACGATGGCTTCCCTGGATTGAGATTTTTAAATTTATCCAGATTCCTAAGCTCATCAATGTTTTTTCTGTTTAATTTTATAGTTTCTAATGGTATGAGATCACTAGAATTAAGCGTCAAAACAAAAGGTTTGCTGCGAGTTCCAGTCGATGACTTGTTCTCTGTATTTATTGTGAATGCATTACATTTAATATCTACAAATTTATCTTTTGGTAAAATGCATGATGTGGCTGGCCTTTCAACATCACTCTTATTCTTGCCAATTAACTTAGGCATTTCTTTCATGTCCCACAAAGACTTTGGGTTTTCTGGTAAGAAAGACATATTCGAGTGCTCCTTCCCTTTCTTTTTCACTGAAGAGCCTTCTAGATATGACTTTTTAAACTTACGTTTCTGTGGTAGAACGTCATCTCGACTTACTGTATCACTTGGAAATAGCTCTTCTGCCAAATGTTTAAGGTGGTTAATAGGATGATTTGCTGGAATGGTCTCATCTTGATGTGGTTGCAGGCGCACAAGGCAGGCAGTAAGTTTGTCAGCTTCAACTCTACTTGGAACGACACTACACTCTTCTTCAAATTCATGTCGGTTCAAAGGAACTGCTCCATTGAAATGTTCAAGTTTGTCTTTAAATGACTCAAGCTGTTTTTGTCGTTTTAATAACTTATCCTCTATTGCTTTAAGTCTTTCTCCTCTAGCGTGAGGAGCCTCCAGTGATGAGTTATCAGTATCTTCATTCAAGAGAAGATGGATTTCTGCATCTGAAAGTCCACTTGACCTTAAAACCTGCTTTACATTAATGAATAATTCTAAATTTTTGTAATCTTCATATGATGCTAAGCCACTGGTACTAGCTGTAATTGATTCTTCAGCTGTTGTTCTGACAAAATCTCTCTGTTTGTTCAACTGTTGTTCCAAAGATATGTGGGTGGACATTTGCTTCTTAACAAGTTCCTTCAACATTTTTTCACGAAGGGTACAAGTTTTAGGTTCTTCTGGCCCCTCTTCCTCCTGGCCCAAAAAGCGGTACTTTTTAGCATTATTATATGTTACTGATGCCATGTTGCAGGTTGTCCTAAACTGTTCTTAAGTTACAGTGGTATGATACTTGTATATTCCTGGTTGATGCTTGCATGTACAGTAAATAAAAATTATAGAAAAAAAAATTACAGAATGCTACCGATCACACGAGGAGAATTTTACAAATTTCAACCTTCACACATATGGGTTCCAATTACTGCCATCTTCTGGTGTCAGTGATCCTGTAATTAAGAGGACTATGTCAACAATCCACCAGATTCCAACACCTCCCATAGTCAAAAGTTTCCCCACAGCTGTTCCAGTTTGTCCCAGACAAAATCGGTCCATGCCCAGAAAACCCAGCAAAACACTATAGATGAGTGTTGTCACAAAGTAATGTCCACTGTACCTGAAAGAAAGAGAAAAAATCTCATCAGTTACAGTACCAAAATATTTACTGATAAAATAATTCTATGCATATAGAGAATGGTAATACAATGTTACCATGCTGTATGCTCCCTCAATGTTTGTTAATGGAGTGTGAAAATATAGGGTACAAAATGTTACATCGTAAAATCCCAATTTTAATGTTTTAATAAGCTTAGAAGTGTTAATTTTCTGCAACTACAGATATGGCTAATACTAAAGCAGGGTGTAGGCACTATCTCTCTAACTGTTTTCAATATTGCTGACTTCTTCCATAAAAATTAAAGATCTTGCTCCTAACAATGGTTTTTTCATTACCAAACATCTATGACAAACCAATAGAATAATAATGCAGTTCGCATCTCTTAAATATTTTATGCCATTTGTTAGTTTCTGATTGCATTACATAGTGGTATACAGTACCAATGAAATGATGAATAAGACATGTGCAGCACCTAAGTGTATCCTCATTATGAAGACATTTTGCCAAGAAGTGTTTTTTAATTCAATACAGAGAAAACATACTGAACACAATAGAGGATGAGGTAATCAGTCCCTTAGTCTTGATATGTGTTCAGTCCCTTAGCTCTGATCAATCTAACAAATCTATTATTATTTTTTTTTTTTTTTGCTTTTTTTTTAACAAGTCGGCCGTCTCCCACCAAGGCAGGGTGACCCAAACAAGAAAGAAAATCCCCAAAAAGAAAATACTTTCATCATCATTTAACACTTTCACCTCACTCACATATAATCACTGTTTTTGGAGAGGTGCTCAGAACACAACAGTTTAGAAGCATATACATATAAAGATACACAACATATCCCTCCAAACTGCTAATATCCCGAAACCCTCGTTTAGAGTGCAGGTATTGTACTTCCCATTTCCAGGACTCAAGTACGGCTATATAAAAATAACCGGTTTCCCTGAATCCCTTCACTAAATATTACCCTGCTCACACTCCAACAGATCGTCAGGTCCCAAATACCATTCGTCTCCATTCACTCCTATCGAACAAGCTCATGAATGCCTGCTGGAAGTCCAAAACTCTCGCCCACAAAACCTCCCTTACCCCTTCCTTCCAACCTTTTCAAGGACGACCCCTACCCTGCCTTCCTTCCCCTACAGATTTATATGCTCTCCATGTCATTCTACTTTGATCCATTGTCTCTAAATGACCAAACCACCTCAACAACCCCTCTTCAGCCCTCTGACTAATACTTTTATTAACTCCACACCTTCTCCTAATTTCCACACTCCGAATTTTCTGCATAATATTTACACCAGGTTGGTAGACAGCAACCACCCAGGGAAGTACTACCGTCCTGCCAGATGACTGTGAAACAAAAACCTGTAATTGTTTTGCATGATGGTAGGATTGCTGGTTTCTTTTTCTGTCTCATAAACACGCTAAGAAAACAGGGATATCTTGCTACTCCTACTAACACTTTGGTCACACTTCACAGACACGCACATGCATATATATATATACATACATCTAGGTTTTTCTCCTTTTTCTAAATAGCTCTTGTTCTTTTTTATTTCTTCTATTGTCCATGGGGAAGTGGAAAAGAATCTTCCTCCGTAAGCCATGCGTGTCGTATGAGGCGACTAAAATGCCGGGAGCAATGGGCTAGTAACCCCTTCTCCTGTATACAATTACTAAAAAAGAGAAGAAGAAAAACTTTATAAAACTGGGTTTGCTTAAATGTGCGTGGATGTAGTGCGGATGACAAGAAACAGATGATTGCTGATGTTATGAATGAAAAGAAGTTGGATGTCCTGGCCCTAAGCGAAACAAAGCTGAAGGGGGTAGGAGAGTTTCAGTGGGGGAAATAAATGGGATTAAATCTGGAGTATCTGAGAGAGTTAGAGCAAAGGAAGGGGTAGCAGTAATGTTAAATGATCAGTTATGGAAGGAGAAAAGAGAATATGAATGTGTAAATTCAAGAATTATGTGGATTAAAGTAAAGGTTGGATGCGAGAAGTGGGTCATAATAAGCGTGTATGCACCTGGAGAAGAGAGGAATGCAGAGGAGAGAGAGAGATTTTGGGAGATGTTAAGTGAATGTATAGGAGCCTTTGAACCAAGTGAGAGAGTAATTGTGTAGGGGACTTGAATGCTAAAGTAGGAGAAACTTTTAGAGAGGGTGTGGTAGGTAAGTTTGGGGTGCCAGGTGTAAATGATAATGGGAGCCCTTTGATTGAACTTTGTATAGAAAGGGGTTTAGTTATAGGTAATACATATTTTAAGAAAAAGAGGATAAATAAGTATACACGATATGATGTAGGGCGAAATGACAGTAGTTTGTTGGATTATGTATTGGTAGATAAAAGACTGTTGAGTAGACTTCAGGATGTACATGTTTATAGAGGGGCCACAGATATATCAGATCACTTTCTAGTTGTAGCTACACTGAGAGTAAAAGGTAGATGGGATACAAGGAGAATAGAAGCATCAGGAAGAGAGAGGTGAAGGTTTATAAACTAAAAGAGGAGGCAGTTAGGGTAAGATATAAACAGCTATTGGAGGATAGATGGGCTAATGAGAGCATAGGCAATGGGGTCGAAGAGGTATGGGGTAGGTTTAAAAATGTAGTGTTAGAGTGTTCAGCAGAAGTTTGTGGTTACAGAAAGTGGGTGCAGGAGGGAAGAGGAGCGATTGGTGGAATGATGATGTAAAGAGAGTAGTAAGGGAGAAAAAGTTAGCATATGAGAAGTTTTTACAAAGTAGAAGTGATGCAAGGAGGGAAAAGTATATGGAGAAAAAGAGAGAGGTTAAGAGAGTGGTGAAGCAATGTAAAAAAAAGAGCAAATGAGAGAGTGGGTGAGATGTTATCAACAAATTTTGTTGAAAATAAGAAAAAGTTTTGGAGTGAGATTAACAAGTTAAGAAAGCCTAGAGAACAAATGGATTTGTCAGTTAAAATAGGAGAGGAGAGTTATTAAATGGAGAGTTAGAGGTATTGGGAAGATGGAAGGAATATTTTGAGGAATTGTTAAATGTTGATGAAGATAGGGAAGCTGTGATTTCGTGTATAGGGCAAGGAGGAATAACATCTTGTAGGAGTGAGGAAGAGCCAGTTGTGAGTGTGGGGGAAGTTCGTGAGGCAGTAGGTAAAATGAAAGGGGGTAAGGCAGCCGGGATTGATGGATAAAGATAGAAATGTTAAAAGCAGGTGGGGATATAGTTTTGGAGTGGTTGGTGCAATTGTTTAATAAATGTATGGAAGAGGGTAAGGTACCTAGGGATTGGCAGAGAGCATGCATAGTTCCTTTGTATAAAGGCAAAGGGGATAAAAGAGAGTGCAAAAATTATAGGGGGATAAGTCTGTTGAGTGTACCTGGTAAAGTGTATGGTAGAGTTATAATTGAAAGAATTAAGAGTAAGACGGAGAATAGGATAGCAGATGAACAAGGAGGCTTTAGGAAAGGTAGGGGGTGTGTGGACCAGGTGTTTACAGTGAAACAATAAGTGAACAGTATTTAGATAAGGCTAAAGAGGTCTTTGTGGCATTTATGGATTTGGAAAAGGCGTATGACAGGTGGATAGGGGGGCAATGTGGCAGATGTTGCAAGTGTATGGTGTAGGAGGTAGGTTACTGAAAGCAGTGAAGAGTTTTTACGAGGATAGTGAGGCTCAAGTTAGAGTATGTAGGAAAGAGGGAAATTTTTTCCCAGTAAAAGTAGGCCTTAGACAAGGATGTGTGATGTCACCGTGGTTTGTTTAATATATTTATAGATGGGGTTGTAAGAGAAGTAAATGCGAGGGTCTTGGGAAGAGGCGTGGAGTTAAAAGATAAAGAATCACACACAAAGTGGGAGTTGTCACAGCTGCTCTTTGCTGATGACACTGTGCTCTTGGGAGATTCTGAAGAGAAGTTGCAGAGATTGGTGGATGAATTTGGTAGGGTGTGCAAAAGAAGAAAATTTTAAAGGTGAATACAGGAAAGAGTAAGGTTATGAGGATAACAAAAAGATTAGGTGATGAAAGATTGAATATCAGATTGGAGGGAGAGAGTATGGAGGAGGTGAACGTATTCAGATATTTGGGAGTGGACGTGTCAGCGGATGGGTCTATGAAAGATGAGGTGAATCATAGAATTGATGAGGGAAAAAGAGTGAGTGGTGCACTTAGAGTCTGTGGAGACAAAGAACTTTGTCCTTGGAGGCAAAGAGGGGAATGTATGAGAGTATAGTTTTACCAACGCTCTTATATGGGTGTGAAGCGTGGGTGAGAATGTTGCAGCGAGGAGAAGGCTGGAGGCAGTGGAGATGTCATGTCTGAGGGCAATGTGTGGTGTGAATATAATGCAGAGAATTCGTAGTTTGGAAGTTAGGAGGAGGTGCGGGATTACCAAAACTGTTGTCCAGAGGGCTGAGGAAGGGTTGTTGAGGTGGTTCGGACATGTAGAGAGAATGGAGCGAAACAGAATGACTTCAAGAGTGTATCAGTCTGTAGTGGAAGGAAGGCGGGGTAGGGGTCGGCCTAGGAAGGGTTGGAGGGAGGGGGTAAAGGAGGTTTTTGTGTGCGAGGGGCTTGGACTTCCAGCAGGCATGCTTGAGCGTGTTTGATAGGAGTGAATGGAGACAAATGGTTTTTAATACTTGACGTGCTGTTGGAGTGTGAGCAAAGTAACATTTATGAAGGGATTCAGGGAAACCGGCAGGCCGGACTTGAGTCCTGGAGATGGGAAGTACAGTGCCTGCACTCTGAAGGAGGGGTGTTAATGTTGCAGTTTAAAAACTGTAGTGTAAAGCACCCTTCTGGCAAGACAGTGATGGAGTGAATGATGGTGAAAGTTTTTCTTTTTCGGGCCACCCTGCCTTGGTGGGAATCGGCCGGTGTGATAATAAAAAAAAAAAATAAAAAAAATTTACACCACACATTGCCCTTAGACAGGACATCTCCTCTGCCTCCAACCGCCTCCTCGCTGCTGCATTCACAACCCAAGCTTCACACCTATATAAGAGTGTTGATACTGCTATACTTTCATACATTCCCTTCTTTGCCTCCATAGACAATGGTTTTTGTCTCCACATATACCTCAACGCACCACTCACCTTTTTTCCTTCATCAATTCTATGATTAACCTCATCCTTCATAAATCCATCCGCCGACACGTCAACTCCCAAGTATCTGAAAACATTCACTTCTTCCATACTCCTCCTCCCCATTTTGATATCCAATTTTTCTTTATCTAAATCACTTGATATCCTCATCACCTACTCTTTTTATGTTCACTTTCAACTTTCTACCTTTACACACACTCCCAAACTCATCCACTAACCTTTGCAATTTTTCTTTAGAATCTCCCATAAGCACAGTATCATCAGCAAAAAGCAACTGTGTCAATTCCCATTTTGTATTTAACCCTTTGACTGTCGCGGCCGTATATATACGTCTTACGAGGTACCGTGTTTGACGTATATATACTCATAAATTCTAGCAGCTTCAAATCAAGCAGGAGAAAGCTGGTAGGCCCACATGTGAGAGAATGGGTCTGTGTGGTCAGTGTGCACCATATAAAAAAATCCTGGAGCACGCAATGCATAATGAGAAAAAAAAACTCCGACCATTTTTTTTAATTAAAATGCCGACTTTGTGGTCTATTTTCGTATAGTATTATGTTGTATTCTCGTTTTCTTGGTCTCATTTGATAGAATGGAAAACATATTACAGAGATAGAGGTGATTTTGATTGATTTTACTATAAAAAGAACCTAGAAATGGAGCTCAAATTAGGGGAAATGTTTGATTTTTGCCAATGTTCAAAAGTAAACAAATGATGCCATTGTCCAATAAATGTCCAACTAGCCATTCTAATATGCAGTCATGAATGGGTTGATGTTATTTATACAATTATTACAGTATTGCAGTAGTCTGCATAATAGTAAGTCTTCTATTTTTTGCTTGAATGAAAATTCAAAATAGAAAGCAAGAGTAATATCAGAGGGGCCTGGAGACATGACTGATGAGCAAAGAAAATGTTATTTTAGAGCCAGGAATGTCTGCATTGTTCATTCTGGACCTTATTTTGAAATTGTCATATTTTTTAGTTTTTGTGAAATTGGCCAAATTGCAAATTTCTGATCACATTATTAGGTAGTTGAAATAGGTAAATGGGCAGTTTCTTGTACTCAATCGATAGAAAAAATGGAGTTCTAAAGAAATAGCTGAGTTTGGTCGATTAGAACAATAGAATTAGCTGAAAATAGGGCTCAAAGTGGGCGAAATCGCCGATTTGTAAACAGCGCCGAGGTCGCTAACCCTTTGCGAGAGCAAAAATTCCATCAGTTTTTCCCATCAATTTCGGTTTCCCTTTGGGGTCATTACAATCGGGAAAAGATTCTCTATCATTTCATAAGAATTTTTTTTTTTTTTTTAAATTTTGCAACACCAGGAGACACCTCAGGATTGGGGGTTGCGACAGTCAAAGGGTTAATTCCCCATAATTTAATCCCACCCCTCTCCCGAACACCCTAGCATTTACTTCTTTTACAACCCTATCTATAAATATATTAAACAACCATGGTGACATTACACATCCCTGTCTAAGACCTACTTTTATTGGGAAGTAGTCTCCCTCTCTTCTACACACCCTAACCTGAGCCTCACTATCCTCATAAAAACTCTTTGCAGCATTTAGTAACTTACCACCTATTCCATACACTTGCAACATCTGCCACATTGCTCCCTTATCCATTCTATCATATGCCTTTTCTAAATCCATAAATGTAATAAAAACTTCCCTACCTTTATCTATTATTGTTATGGTCACTATTCCCTAATTTTGCTCACTTTTTATGAATTAATTAGGTCTCAGTCCAAGAAACGAGCTTAGTTTGGGATCATTCTAAATTAAGGGACAGGTGAAGATAATGGTATGGAGGAGGTGATAGACATACACACCTGTGCTCTTACAAAAATTAATTCAAACTAACTTAATGCATGGAAAGCCATCACGGAGGAACTTTCTTTCACCACAGCAATCAATTCCATCCAATACAGAACACCACACTTTGGTGATTTCCACATCCTCAAATCTCTGCCCTCCAAACTGAAAAATAATGAAGGTAATCACAATAATACGCAACTAATAAGTTACTTAATACAAGCTGAAATGCTTTCCACACCAGGAATGCTCATTACATAATAATAATTAATAAATAAAAATAATAATTTATTTCCACGCTATACATAGTTGTTACAGAAATGGACGACATTTAATATTTCACGTGGAAAACCCTTAGTTATGCAGAGTATTTCAGGACAAGATACAACATAATATTGTAAACACAAACATACAAAGACGTTAAAAATATACACAGAATAAAGGTAATTCTAATGAATATAACAAATAGGTACAATAGGTTGGTAGACAGCAATCACCCAGGGAGGTACTACCATCCTGTGGTAGTAGGTTGGTAGACAGCAACCATCCAGGGAGGTACTACCGTCCTGCCAAATGCGTGTGACACAGAAACCTGTAAGCATTTTACACAATGGTAGGAATGCTGGCGTCTTTCTTTTTGTCTCAAGAAAACAGGTACGTCTTGCTACTTCTATACACAAATAACCCGCACAAAGACTTTGTAAATGGTCCAAATCGGACTGAAACGTCGTCGCAAGCTTCTCTCTTTTATGTGCGGGTTATTTGTGTATCGTTCCAGTCATGGTATTGTGCCTTTTTTTGTTATTTATTTGCTACTTCTACTTTCACTCAGGCACACTATGTATACATGTACACGTATATGTACACACCAATTTAAATTTTCTTCATTTCTAAATAATCCTTGCTCTTTTTACTTCCCTTCATCTCCATGGGAAAGTGGAAAAGAATCTTTCCTCCATAAGCCATGCATGTCGTAAGAGGCGACTAAAATGCCGGGAGCAAGGGGCTAGTAACCCCCTCTCCTGTATGAATTACCAAAAATAAGAAGATTTGAGTGTCAGCAAAGTAACATTTATGAAGGGATTCAGGGAAACTGGCAAGCTGGACTTGAGTCCTGGAGGTGGGAAGTACAGTGCCTGCACTCTGAAGGAGGGGTGTTAATGTTGCAGTTTTTTAATTGTAGTGTAGGTGTGACTCTGGCAAGACAGTGATGGAGTGAATGGTGATGAAAGTGTTTCTTCTTTTTAGGGTCACTCTACCTTGGTGAGAAATGGCTGATGTGGTAATGAAAAAAATATATATGAAAGATGAAAAAAATGACATGGTACATGACAATGAAAAAAACTTGAGTTAGGATTCATTCAAATAAATTAAGTTACAACACCTGAGTGATATTTAATACAATAAATTCAAAATTAGATGTATGTACTGATTATTTTAATAAAGTTCAGTACAGTACATATATTGAAGCATCAGTGCTCATTTGGAGAAACCAATGTGAAAAAGTAAAGGATATTTATAAATAGAGATGTGGAAAATGATTTGACTACAGCATCTCGGTACACAGTGCCTTGTTTAGCTCGGTTTTAAATTTAATAAAAAATGTTAAAATTTTTTAGTTCGTTTTCAATCTGCATAGGCTTTTTGTACATGTTCATTTGAACATACAACATAGGATATCAAAGAGGTATTTGTTTCTGATGTGGTGCCTATATGCTCTTACATTTTTCTATAAAAATATTTAAGAGTTCAGCTTCAGCATTACAATGCAATGTTTTGAAAATGTGGAATGAATTATGGTATGAATTGCATTTATATTAGTAGGCTTCCACTTAGGGAAGTGGAACAGAATTCTTCCTCCGTAAGCCATGTGTGTCGTAAGAGGCAACTAAAATGCCAGGAGCAAGGGGCTAGTAACTCCTTCTCCTGTATATATTACTAAATGTAAAAGGAGAAACTTTCATTTTTCCTTTTGGGCCACCCCGCCTCGGTGGGATACAGCCGGTGTGTTGAAAGAAAGCTTAGCAATCTGAATAGGCATAGTGTGTTACCTATTGGTAGAGTCTGTGATTGCTCTGAAAGCTGCCTTTTTTTTTTTTTTTTTTTTTTTTTTTGAGATACAACTGGCTTGAGATGTGTTGCTGAAGCAGATCCCCCAGGCACAGATTCCATATATGAACTATGGATAGAGGAGGGGAAGGTAGTGTTAGGGGTGTGGGTAGTAAGACATGATAATAAATTCTGGAAAGTACTGCTACTGTCTTAGACTTTTGTGGATGTGCTGGATATGGAGATTTCCCTTCTTTTTTGCATTATTCAAGGATCAATGATTTCAATATCTATATGACAAGGAGAGAGGGGTGGGATTAAATTATGGGGAATGAAATACAAAATGGGAGTTGACACAGTTACTTTTTCCTGATGATACTGTGCTTATGGGAGATTCTAAAGAAAAGTTGCAAAGGTTACCTGGAGTTTACCTGGAGAGAGTTACGGGGGTCAACGCCCCCGCGGCCCGGTCTGTGACCAGGCCTCCTGGTGGATCAGAGCCTGATCAACCAGGCTGTTACTGCTGGCTGCACGCAAACCAACATACGAGCCACAGCCCGGCTGATCAGGAACCGACTTTAGGTGCTTGTCCAGTGCCAGCTTGAAGACTGCCAGGGGTCTGTTGGTAATCCCCCTTATGTATGCTGGGAGGCAGTTGAACAGTCTCGGGCCCCTGACACTTATTGTATGGTCTCTTAACGTGCTAGTGACACCCCTGCTTTTCATTGGGGGGATGTTGCATCGTCTGCCAAGTCTTTTGCTTTCGTAGTGAGTGATTTTCGTGTGCAAGTTCAGTACTAGTCCCTCTAGGATTATCCAGGTGTATATAATCATGTATCTCTCCCGCCTGCGTTCCAGGGAATACAGGTTAGTGGACGAGTTTGGGAGGGTGTTTAAAGGTAAAAAGTTGAAGGTGAACAAAGATAAGAGTAAGGTGATGCAGGTATCAAATGATTTAGATAAAGAAAAATTGGATATCACATTGGTGAGAGGCAGTAAGGAAGAAGTAAATGTTTTCAGATATTTGGGAGTTGACTTGTCAGCGGATGGGTTTATGAAGGATGAGATTAACCACAGAATTGATGAAGGAAAAAAGGTGAGTGGCATGTGGAGTTATCTGTGGAGACAAAAAAACGTTATCCATGAAGGCAAAGGAGGGAATGTACAAAAGTATAGTGGTACCAACACCCTTATATGGGTGTGAAGCTTGGGTTGCAAATGGTGCAGCAAAGAGGCAGCTGGAGGCAGTGGAGATGTCCTGTCTAAGGTAAATGTGTGGTGTAAATATTATGCAGAGAATTCAGAGTGTGGAAATTAGGAGGAGGTGTGGAGTTACTAAAAGTATTAGTCAGAGGGCTGAAGAGGGGTTGTTGAGGTAATCTGGTCATTTAGAGAGAATGTATCAAAGTAGAATAACTTGGAGAGCATATAAATCTGTAGGGAAAGGAAGGTGGGGTAGGGGTCATCCTTGAAAAGGTTGGAGGGAGGGGATAAAGGAGGTTTTGTGGGCGAGGGGCTTGGACTTCCAGCAAGCATGTGTGAGCATGTTAGATAGGAGTGAATGGAGTTTAAGGGACCTGACGAGCTGCTTAAAGTCAACAACGAGGCACTGTTGTATAAATAAAAGTACAGTAATGTTCTGTATTGTACAGTGACACTACAGTAAATGCTCTATTTAATGGATTAATTGTTTTATAAATTAGTCCCAGTCTATAGGGCTTAATGATGTTTTTTTTAGGGGAGCACCCAAGTCTTGATGGGAGATGGCCGATGGTCAAAAAAAAAAAAAAAATTAGGGGAAGTTTTTCTTAAATTTTTTTTGTATACTGCATATGTAGAGTATAATGAAATAGGTAGTTAGGTTACCTTTACACAACCATGACCTTCATCATCACGGGCTGACTGGTTACCACGGTGATCTGTAGGTTTATCGCATTCAAGGAATTCCAAGGGCCTGGAAATACATATTCATATTTAAGTTAGAATAAAATTAGTTATATTTTCCAATAGATTACCTACAGCATGATTTTGAAGCTTTTGTACTTATACAGTCTGAGGTAATGTCTGACTACTTCCCTGGCATTCACCTGATCAGCCAGGTTGTTGCTGCATGTAGATAATAACCCAAGCTATGAAAACTTCTTCAAGGCTGCAATTTAAATATGTTGAAAATTATAGAAAACAAAGTGAATGTGGCATCATTTTGTGTGTCAATCATTTCTGCATACAACTAGTATATTCATGGAGAAGCACTGAACCTGTATGGGTTATACACTGCTTGGAGAATGTGAGGTAATCAGGTTCAATTTCAGGAGGGGAAGGTTTGTTCTAGTTCCTTGGATTAGGGCAGCCCCTAATGGGTCTTCATATAGTACATGTAATAAAAAAAATCATTCATTCATTTTCAAAAGGAGTGAGTACATGAATAATGGTGACATGTACCTTGCGTAACATGTACCTTAGTGAGAAACAATGTGTGAAGACACATATAAAAGGTTTTATTCAAACACTACATTAACCTTCTTTCCTTCACCAATACTGCTGAATGGCATTTAAACTTGATCATCAGAAGGAAAAGATAAGATTTTGTTTGGATTTTTAACCCTGGAGGGTTAGCCACCCAGGAGAACCCAAGAAAGTCAGGGTGTCATTGAGAACTGTCTGTCTTATTTCCACTGGGGTCCTCTTGTCCCCAAGGATGTGACCCACACCAGTCGACTAACACCTTGCTAGGTGCTTATTTGCATTGGTCCTCTTTTGCCTGATGCAGCACTGTATGGCTTTTCGGGTTCAGCACTTAATATGATTATACAGTATTATAATTTTCCCCTGGATGTAGCCCACAACAGTTGGCTACACCTACATCTACATAATGCTAGGTGAAGAGGGGCCAACAAGAGCAAGGAAACACAATTAGTATCTTCACTCAATCCAGGATCAAACCCAGGTCCTTCAGTTGTGAGCTGTAACTGCTACTACTGAGTCATCAATCTTTGAGAAGAAAGGTTCAATTTGTAGGTTGACTTGGTCTGTTGACTGTTGTACTCTTGCAGTTTGGATTGTTTGGCAACACACTCGCCTCACACATTGAGTGTCCATGGTTCGATCTCCAGCATAGGTGGAAATGTTGGTCAAGTTCCTTTACACCTGCTGTCCCTGTTCTCTAAGCAGTAAGTAGGTACCTGGGTGTTTGTTGACTGGTGTGGGTCACATCCTGGGGAAAAAGATTAAAGGGACACAACAGAAATAAGACAGACAGTCCTCGATGATGCACTGACTTTCTTGGGTTATCCAGGATAAAAATCTTAACAAATTTTATCTGAACACGATAGCAAGCAAATCAACACGGGTGGAGTTCGAGCCCCACTCATTCTCTGATTTGGCATGACTACTTTCTTTGTATTATTAATCCCAGAGGGTTAACAGCCCAGGATAAAGCAATATGTCTTATTTCCACTGGGTCTTAGGTCCTTACCTAGAATACAACATCACTAACTCCTAAGCATCTATGTACCAATAGGCGAGAGGCAGCAGGTGTTAGGAGATTTGCACATACATCTCGTCCTGCCTGGGAGTGAACACTGGTATTTTTTGGTACAAGCTTGATGCTATACCACTTAGCTATGAGGTTCTATGCCATGATGACAATGCTTCAGAATTCCTAGGCCACCTTAAAGAATAAAGAATTTATTTCTTTGCGAAAGTTACAATGTGTAGCTACAACTTTGATTTGTTAAGTACACGGAAAGCCACTTTTATGCCAGGGCATTTTGGGGAGACTAATCCTAGCACATAATAACTACTTAAGTCTAGACAAGATAAGAGTGGTTAACTTTTTAATAAATCTTTATTTTATCTTAATACTAATGCAAGGTAGTCAAGGTGGAGGATTGTAAATACTAATAATCTTGAAGCTGCACATAAAAACTATTACAATTAATGGTTCAAACAGCCTGACGACACTGGATGACAGGAGTGTTAGGAGAGACATGATAATGACATACAAAATACTGTGTGGAATAGATAAAGTGGACAGACAGGATGTTCCAGAGATGGGACACAGAAACAAGGGGACACAATTGGTAGTTGAAGACTCAGACGAGTCAAAGGGATGTTAGGAAGTATTTCTTCAGTCACAGAGTTGTCAGAAAGTGGAACAGTATAGCAAGTGATGTAGTGTAGGCAGGAGCCATACACAGCTTTAAGATGAGGTATGATAAAACTCATGGAGTAGGGAGAGAGAGGACCTAGTAGCGATCAGTGAAGAGGCAGGGCCAGGAGCTGAGTCTCGACCCTGGCAACCACAAATAAGTATGTACAGTAATATTCTACATTTCTGGGAGATAGACCTAACCTTATTTACATTTCTGAGAGAAAAATCACGAGGTACAAAATCAACACAAAAGACAACAAAAACTCTTATTTTTACATATATATTATCGATCAGCCTTTAACTCACATCATAATTTGTGAAAAATGAAAATTTATTATAGATTAAATTGCAGTGTTCCCTTCAGGGGATGTGCACTGGTGCTGGCAGAGCTCTTGATCTGAAGAATAAGAGCTACTTTCCTCTTCCTTGGATCAAGGTAGATTTCTTTCCATTCTCCAGGTGTTACATGATCCCCCCTAAGGGTTTAGTGCTTCCCCATGAGTATATTGGACAAGTGTGGGGAAGCACAGCCATGCAGTTAACTGTAGTAAATTTATTTAGGTACCAGTACACATAAAGACAATTACACAAATTATCATACATAGTAACACATATGTAAATTACCCAGGATAACCCAAAAAAAAGGTCATACTTATTTCCACTGGGGTCCTCGTAATTTTCAATTTGTCTGACTTTATTTTGGGTTATTCTACATAATTTACATGTTAAACTATATATGATAATTGTACTTGTGTAGCTGTACCTCGATAAACTTAATGATGTAAAACAGAAAAGCATTATGTACATTATTATTCATGGGAGCTGAAGAGTGGGAGACTATGAGAGATTAATTGACCCTTGTGGGTTTATTGCTTAGTTCTGATTGTAATAATATGAAGATTAATGTAATGAAGCAGAGGGGTAGCTCCCAATCCTTGGATCAAATTCTATTACCTCCCATTCCCAGAGGTGCTATGTAACCCCCTTACGAGTTTAGA